AAGATCACAGGTTATATGCCCAGTTTGTCTTGTCTATTTATATTTTGATAAAACAAAATAATAAAAATAAAACTTTTCACTATATGCTAGAGAGCAAACTTGGCGCGCGGCCAACATTAGCTTCCTACATATTTATTTATCTATGGCCATAATCGGAATTAATCGTGTAAATGTTATATTTTCTAATATGTAAAGTTGGTGAAAAAAAAAACTGCTTTATTTTTTGTATATGTATTACTTTTAATAATTACAAACATAATTTAAATATAACTATCTGACGCCCTATATAAGGCCGGTATAGACCACGACCGGGGCAGTATTGAATTGGCGATACAAGCAAATACTTCGAAGCGACTGCGAACTAAAGTGATCAGTAGTACAACTGTGTTTTAGTGTGGTTTTTTATAGATTTTTTTATAGATAATACATACATAATATACAATAAGATTTTGATCCGCGCAGCTATTACTTAACCACGAGTTGTCGAGTCGGGCATCGAGCGTTGTGAGTATCAGGTACAATGGAATGTTTATTATCTTGGGACACTAAACCGCGATTGTCATGCGCGGGCGTCTAGCCGCGCTTCAGGAGCATTACTAAATATCTATAGGTACCTAACTACGCTAAGTTTTATCATTGTGACTTGGGAATATAATCTGCAACTGCGATTAATCCTTTGGGGAAAATAGCGTGATGCTATGAATATTGTACTAGTGTGACCGTAGGTGCAAGTGGTTAAGTAAGGTTTTCATTTTTTTGGTTAGTAAAAGATACTTAGTTGGGTTCATAATATAATCTCAAGATTTATTTTTCTTGAATGTACTACAGTTTTGTAATATACTAAAATCTATCTCTATTTAATTTATATGTTAAAATTTTGAAGTCTTATTATAACAATATTATACTTACGGTTAGAGAAATAATATAGAAATGATTCCTTTTAATAAAATTGGTTTTATTCTACTTTTTCTTTTATATTTCTCAAGAAAATGTTTGCTGCACATTGGTGAGTTCTTCTTGAGATTCCAACCAAGTAGCCCAATTAATCTTAGCCATTTTTTATAAATATAGAATGAAGAGGGAATCTCAGACGGCAAAATAAAATTACATTTTTGGAACGCAAACCGAACACTTATTTTCATTCCTCTTCTTATTGTGTGGGCAAGTCTATCGATTGATTATAAACACTCAAAATAAATATCGACATTATTTTTTATATGGTTGAGTCAATCCTTAGCGTACATGTAAAATATTTTGTAAAAAAATGTATTTACCAAATTCATGCAAATTATCAACAACGTGACTTTTTTCTTTACAAAATGTCAAACTATAATAGGTATAATATAAGGTTAAAAATAATTGAAAAATCCCATATGTTATTTTTTTATAGGATTAGTAGAAATAGTATAAAATATAAATTTTGACCAAAAATAGACGCGTCTTATTATTGACGACGTCTTGAGAATTTACCTGTGAAATGTGAGATTATCAGGATTTTTCTTTAATTAACACCACAGTCACTCAAAGTACAAGTAACCATTTTGGAAAACCATTACTTAATATAAATAGTAGTATAATACTCTAAAAAGATTAGAAAATATCTAGGAGCTTATTTCTTGAGTGCTGAGTTGTGCCGACCAAAGAGTATAGTAATTAGTAATATATAAGGAAGGTGCCGACTTGTCATTCTAAATCTGTTACAAACTCATGAGTTCTACTATCCTTTTTCAATTTGCTATATTGCCATAAGGAAATTTCTTCTCACTTGCACACTACGTTCATTTCTTACTATCCAAGTCTATGTTCAAAAAGAAAAAACTTTAGAAATCGATGACTGATTATTTTATTTTTTGTATATTTGTTATGCCTCGTCTCCACCAAAGAAAAGTTGCCAATTTTTATGTTGTCAACACGTGTTGATGACAAAAGCTTCTGTAATTACCTAGTGTTGGCAACAAAAATTGTAAAAAATGTCGGGAACCGTGTTTCCACTAGTGGCAGTAACATCAAAGGAATATGCTTGTTGCAAACATTTGTTCGCTCTGTGGAGACGCTTGTTAGAAACATTAGTTGGCAATATGTCTGTCACGTGGACGAACGAGTTAATCGACACATTAATTAATTTATATCGTTCACAAAATATATTATGGGATGTGTGTAATGAAAATTTAACAATAAAAAAACATACACGGAAAAATATAAGTGATGCTATGGGGTTAAAGAACTAGAAATAACTAGAGAAGCAAAAAAGAAAGATGAAAATACATCTGGAAATGCGGCTTCTATGTTCTATACTCCTAGGTTGTTTGCCTACCAACGGCTTCTTTTTTAATCGACAGAAATAAAACCAGGTTATGTGTGGAAAAGGGAATAAATGAAATGCGTAAATGAAAAATTTATATTATTTATTTCTTAACCGACAATCGAAAAAACGAGGTACTGTAACCAGTTACGTGTACAGAATAAAATTAGGAAATTGGTCTTATTGTTTGATACCAACTGCGCTTATCATGTTTTTAAATTAGATATAATACCTATATGCAACAGAGATGCCGCGAATACTCGCTGTTATGAGAGAACAAATAATAGTACTAGAACAGAAGAATAATTCTCTGATAGCGAAACTTCCGAGTTTAAACGTCGTTACAATGTCGCGAATGTTCATAATACTTTGTTTAATAAAAATGATAAATAGCTGCGGCTTTCTGCATAATATCGGGGCTTGAAGATATATTGCCAACAAAAAATTGGTGGAGACAGATAGTTGTCAACTGAAACGTTTCTCAAATTTTTAATGTGAAAACAACTGAAATAAAAGTTGGTGACTTTTGTTGAGTTGCAAACAGTTGGAAACATAAAAGTTGCTAACAGTTTCGGTGGGTACGCGCCTTTATATAATATTTTCTTCAATTGTGAATCGATTTTGGGACAGAGAAAAATTTCCACCCCTAAGTCTAGAAAAAATTGGGATGAAGCTATTTAGGAGACTTTGAGATTGTGATATTCCTTAGTCCAACCCAAAATATTACAAAATAATAACTTTTATAAATGGTAAAAGCCGACTTTAAGAACTAAAAAAAAAGAACAATATTACATTCTGATATTGGGTCTTTAATTCTTATAAATACTATCACCTACTTCAGAATGTGAAATTATTTTATACTTTTTATTTCTTTGAAATTAGCGTCAACTTACTATTAAAAGTTTCTTTTAGTGACCGACCGAAGATTCGGTTTCTTTTTCGGTTTCGGCAAAAAATCCAATTTCGGTAATAGGTTCGGTTTCGAAAAAAAATCTGCCGAACCTTCGGCGGCGCCGAAACTAGGTGTTCGTGGATTATCGTGCGTCGTTAGGAAGAGTTCGTGACTCGTGTATTATAGAAAAGTTTCTGTTTCTTTAGCTGATATAGAAACAGAAACTTTTTATTCAACACAGATTATAAATAATACTTATTGAAATTCACTCTTTTGTTTAATTACCACTGGTTAGAAAAAAAAACCTCTGTCCTTGGGAGAACCAGCAAGAAACCCAGCGGGATTTTTTTAAATAACAGCTTACAATCAAAGGCGTAGCGTGGACTAATATAAATGTGAGTTAAGTTACATTAGCGAGGCCCCTTTTCTTTCGTTCCAAAGATCTACCCAATAGATCTATCCTACCAAACATGCTCTGATACTAGCAGCTTGCTTGCTGGGCAGTTGATCACCTCATTCCCAGAGGTTATTATCATCCATAAATTCCTTAATATTACAATAAATCTTTTTATACAAACTCAGTTTATTAAAGTTTTTGAACTTTGAGCAGGTTTTGTATATTTTCTGAGATTTTGTTATGTGTATATTGTGTGAGTGTAATATATTAAGTTAATGCTCTCATTGAATAATATTAACAACATTGTGAACACAATAAAATATGTTTTCAATTAGCGAGTAACTTTTTATGGGTGTAAATTTGATTTTTTTTACAAAGTTGACTTAAAAAGTATTTCTTAACGTTAAATTGTTGATTTTTACTTTAAAATAAATAAATATATTGCTACATGACTATTACAATCTATATTTTCGGTTTCGATTTCGTTTGAAAGTCCTGTTTCGGTCGGACACTAGTTTTTTTTTTATAATATCGGTAGCATATTCGTTCATGATTCGAAAATCAAAAAAGGATTTTAGTCGATTTTAGAACAAGCGATTGTTCGATTGCTAATAAACAATTACGTCGTCACTATAAAGAAGTGAATTTCTTGATACATCTACATATACCTATATTTATCTATGGTGTACTTTATAAATGTACCGACTCGGAAAAACGGACTTATACACGGACGGACTCTAGTTAACTCGAGTTGAAATTCACACAACTCGAGTTTAAACTCTGAAACTGAAACAGAGTAAATGATTGGTCACAAATTACTTTTTTATAAGTTTGTTTTTCTATCTTATGTATTTATGGTTTTAATCTTAATTATATTAAGTACCTGTATTTAACAACAAAACTAGCTATAAGTATAGCAGTCTTCATAAAACAATATTGGTCTAGCTTTAAGATGTAGGTACATAAGTTATTTATAGTTTAAATATCACCCTCAATATACTCTTAAATATATTCCGATTTTCTCAAATTCAAAATATTTATTGTAAAGTAAGTGTTACATTTGGCATTAATTTAAAATATTATGATCTATCTTACAACTTAACTACCCTTTTCGGGTATTACAATAATAGGTATGTGATTTACATAACTATGATGATCAAAACTATATTGATCATAATTAATTAAAATTATAAAAGAAATTAATTTACATAACTTAGCTATTATAAAATTTTTAATAACAAATTGTTTTGGTTGTTTCTAAATACATATTGAAACAAAGCGCGTACAGAACGAATGAAGGCGGTCTTTCTCTTTTGCTTTTGCTCGCTCACCCTCACTTGATCCATTCATGTACAGAAGCCCAAACTCGAGTTACGGAGATCCAACTCGAGTTAACTGCAACTCGAGTTAACTCGAGTTGATTCATCACTAGTGAATTTGTTAAATGTTAATTTCTTGCTACATATATATTTATCTATGGTTAATTTTACCGCGTACTAGCTCCCGGTCCCGTCTTGATTCCTTGTGGCCGACTGGAATAGTGTTAATTTAATTTAATTCACGATTTGTGTTACTGAAATTGACAAATTAAGTATTTTGCTATTATTTTATTAAATTGTGCGCAAAACAATCTTCAAAATGTTTTGGGGTAAGTTAATAAATTAGCGACCGCACTTTGTTACCACGTGCTTTAGTCCGGCTTTTAATTTTTATCGTTTCTATAACGATTTTCTATTGAAACTTATGCTCAGTGTGTATATAAATGGCAGATGATACTTCTTTGATAGGTTTGCATTGACAAAAATGTAAAGATATTCAATATAAAAATTTTATTCTTGCTAAGTCCTCTGTAGGTGGCAAAACATGTACCACCATGAGTCCTTATGTCTCTAAAGCTTTCTTGTGTTTTAATTACTTTTAAAACAACACTTCAGCGCGCATAGGCGGCGATTAGAAATGAACGGCTGTTAACCGTGAGCACAGCGACAAGAATTTGATGAGGATTTTTAAAATTTTATGATTTTTATGCAAATTTCACTGCATTTTTATGCATTGATAGAGCTTAAACATCAATTTGATGGCTGTGGTGTATATGCTGTTTTTGACACTATTGCACAAAGTTCACTAACTGCTGAGAAATTGCACTCATCCAGGCTGCTGTGCTAAACAGTATCTACTGTGCTAAACACTGGTTTGCTAAGGGTGCTGAAGACAAGTATGTATTGCCGGTTGGCCAACAATTGGTCCAGGTGGTACAATTACGTGGTAGAGCCATGCTGCAGCTATATTAGTAGTATTAGTTGTAGTACGAATGGGTCGGCTTGACCGGGGAAGAACCACGCTCTCACAGAATACCAGTGTAGAATGGCAGCTTCATACTGCTGTGTTACGTATGGTGAGTGTAGAGAACAGGATACCTATTTTACTGGAAAAGAGGCATTCCGTCTTAGTCCTCACGGGTGACGATGCACCTGCATTTTAATTCTTTATTGAGGATAAATGTAGATGTCTATGGGTTACAGCACCCACTTACCATCAGGTAGACTGTGAGCTCATTTGTCACCCTATCCTATAAAAAAAAGGTCTGGATGTTGATGTGCAATTTATGTATGTTAAATGCATCCACCATACAAGAGAAAATCTTATTATAGAGGTAATATTATTATATAAAAATAAGGATGACAAATGATCACACATTCCACCTGATGGTAAAAGGATACTATGGCTCATAGACATCTACATATATCCCCAATTAGGAATTAAAATGCACTAAGGTGGAATGCCTCATTTCCAGTAAAAAGGGTATGGTTCTCTACACTCACCATATCAAACAGCAGCATTAAGCTGCTATTTTATCGTAGTTATCTGTGAGAGCGTGGTCTTTCCTTGGTTGGGCCGACCCATTCATGTTACAATTATAATATAGCTGCAGCATGTCTGTATGATGTAAGATAATGCTAATATTCTTGATAAAAAAGGTTAATCTTGAACGAGTATCTCTATTATTTATTACAATTTATGTAGGTAGTGATTGTGCATAACTTATTTTGTAAGTGATAGTGTAGTGCCACTATAATTTGTGAAATGCCCTAATATTCAACTTGCAACTTAATAAATTATCAGTATCATATCTGTTGTATGGTGTTCAGTTTTAGTTATTTTGGAATATGTATTAAAATCAAAACTTTCATGATGTATTTAATTTTAGAGAAGAATAATACATTCTGTATCCATATATCATATGCCTCCTTTGGATCTTTGTTGCATGCTCTATAAGTGTTGTAAAGGATGTGTTTGTTTCAGGACTTATTATGGAACCAAACAAGCGCTACACTCAAGTGGTGGAAAAGCCTTTCCATATATCACAAGCAGCCATGGACATATCAACTGGTGACAGTGATCCCTGTCAAGTAATGGTTGTGGTTGATGGCAAAAACTTCCTCGTCTGCACGCTCCAGAAAAACAAATGCATTCAAGTACCACTAGATCTCAATTTTAAATCTGGAGACTCTATTTCATTCTTGACTAATGGTAAGGATTTTTAAATAACCTGTTGTGTCCGCAATTTCATTCACCCAAACGTATCATCTACAAATTCTACTAATATAAACAAATGGAAATCTGTTGTGTATTAAAGTATAATAATCCTCATTATTTTATTTATTTATCCTTTATTGCAACACACCAACTAGGGGTTACAAAGGGCGGACTTAATGCCGTATGGCATTCTATACCAGTCAACCTGACGGAAAATGGAATAAATAAAGATGTTGGCAGGTGCAAGGACAGTAATAAAACATAAGTTATAAATAAAAACAGTTCAGCTATAATAAATAGATTACACAATACAAAACTACCTAATTGCATTATATAAATACAGTATGCATAATAAACACACATATGTAAATATATACACACACACACACACACACGCACGCACGCAAGCACGCACATATACAAATAAATATAAATTATAAATACACATATAATATATATATACATATATATATAATATATATATACATATATATATAATATATATATACATATATATAATATATATATATATACATATATATATATATATACATATATATATATACATATATATACTGGGTGGCGCCTAGGTTATCACGTTAAATAGCACAGCAGTTAATACAAGTTGATATATGCCTGTTAAAATAATAAAACAAACAATAATAAAAGAAAATAAAAAATGCATTTTTCAAACAAAATAAATAGCATAAAAAATTGACAAGAAATAAATCACCTTGTTAATATTAGTTTACTGACCTCAAGCGACCTGTAAAAGCGGCAACGTCGCTATGTTTGGACACTTCGCCCCATTTCTTGTCATTTCGCGCATAGAGAATTATGCCTTAAGTCCTTTATTTTAAGTAAATTTTTCGCTTGAATTTGTTTTCACACACCCGCATGGCACGGTCCCTTTGTTTTTGATTTCGCGCGATTTATAAAATTATGCCTTAAATTGTTAGCCGTAAGTACATTTTTTCTTTATTTGAGTAATTCAAATTGGCAACGTTTAAACTACGTATATCGCCTTCAAATGCCATGGATCTTTGACCTTCTAGTATTCATCAGGTGATATCTGTATGCATTTACATGATGTTATTTAATATTAAAACGAAAAAAATGCTACCGCGACTAAAATATTGATTGTTATATATTTTTTAGTTATGTATGTTTAAAAAAAATTATGTAGAATACGTCTTTTCATTTAATGTGATAACTTTATCGTCACTCGGTATATATATATACATATATATATATATATATATATATATACATATATATATACATACATATATATATATATATATATACATACATACATATATATAAAACGGGGAAGGCAATTAATTGTTGTTTACCTCTAAATAATGTCGCACCAATATTTTAAACAAAAGCTTATTCGTAACTTCCTTGACATCAGCGGGTAAAGCGTTCCAGAGGAGAATAGCCTGAACTGTGAAGGAAGAATTAAAAAAATTTGTTCTATGTTCTGGAATACTAACTTTAAGTGCGTTAGAAGGACAAGGTTCACGGCCCGAAATAAAGTAGAGAAAGTTGAAGTTTTCTTTAAGATATGGCGGAGAGTTAGAATCATTTAAGATGGAAAAAAGTGTCAATAAAATTCTGGAGCAACGCCTTTGACATATATTGAGCCATTTAAGCTTAGAACGATAGGCAGAGATATGGACGTATTTACGTAAATTAAAAACAAATCTTATACAACTATTGAGAAGGCGCTCCAATTGAGAAGATATTGCGAAAGATCCCGATAGCACACATCAGCAAAATCAATAATGGGAAGAATGAGGGAATTAACCAATATAAGCTTAGTTTTGAAGGGTAAGAAATTTTTCAGACGATACAGGGAACGTAAGGCAACAACAACTTTACGGCTTATTTCAGAAATTTGCAAACTCCAGTTCATAGTTTGATCTATATGCAAGCCAAGATTAACTATTGATTCATTGAAAGGAATCGTTATACTATTGTAAACCACAGGTTCAAGATTTCTATAGTCAATCCTGGCCAGCATCCTTGAACTACCTACAATCATACATCTTTGCATATCAGCGGATTTACCGAGATACCATGCCTGTATGACCAAACTCTGATAGCATCAAGATCATCGTTCATCAGTCGTATGACGTTATTGATGTCATTGATACTAGATTGTATATATAGTTGAAGATCATCTGCATACAGATGGTGTGAACACTTGATAACAGAAGATATGGAATTAATGAATAAAGAAAACATTATAGGAGAAAGTATGCCGCCTTGCGGCACGCCAGATTCGATGTCAGCCCAGCCAGAGAACTGTTCTCCAAGGCGGACGGACTGTTGGCGGCCGCGAAGATAGGATAAGATCCACTCCAAGGCTGAGGATGAAAATCTGAGATGAGTTAGAATGGAGAGGAGGATGTCGTGTTCAATTCATTTCATCAATTATCATCACACTAAAAGTTAAACATGGCTAATTCAGTGAAATTCTTTGTGTTAACTCGGTAATTCAGGTGCAGTTTACTGCACCAGCTTATTGCAATGGCACAACAAATTTTAAACACATCTATCAACTCTGCCATCTGTCAAAATAAAATTGTGTGGCCAATAAGTAAAATAAAATGTAGAAAAGAAAGACTATCTAAATATTAGGTACTATGACTTTAATTTATTATAATAGATTCTTAGGTATTATAATTATAAGGTATTATATTAAGAAAAATGTTTATATTATAGTTTTTTGTATTAACAAAACACAAATTAAGTAAAATATGAAACATTTTTGGCCCAGGTAGTATTAGATGGGTGCAATGGCGTTTACTGTGGAGGGGTTAAATAAAACAAATATTATATGCTACCTATATAATTACACACTTTGCTCTGATATTAACAATAAAGATTAAAAAAAATCTAATATGAGGCAGATGCAACACTCATCTTCATTTCATTTCATTCATTACTACCCCTTTATAAGTAATTGCAGAAAATATAAATACATTTTTGAATTGTAAAATACATACATTTGTCCCAGGGGATGTGACCTCTGTACATTTTTTCATCTTTACACATAAGAATAATAATCCTTTTTTTTTTTTAAGGTAAATGTAATGTCCACTTAACTGGATATTTAGATCTGGAGTTCGAAGAGGAAGCATCTGATGAAGAAGAAGAGTCTGAAGAGGAGGAGGAGGAAGAAGCACCAGCACTTGTTCCAGCAAAGAATAAACGTAAACTAGAGAACAGTACAGAGTCTCCTACCAACAAGAAAGCTAAGGTAAGCATCCCAGTTTATAAAATGATACATACATATAATCACACCTCTTTCCCGTAGGGGTAGGCAGAGATCACTTCTTTCCACTTGCTACGATCCTTACATACTTGTTTTGCTTCGTCCACTTTCATTATTCCCTTGATACATGCTCTATGGTTTAGGGTACTCTTGACCTGGCCTTTTTCAAGACGTCCCTGATTTGGTCTAGAAATGTCTGCCTAGGTCTCTAACCCTTCCAACACTCATTCACACTCGCCTTATACACTTTTTTTGTCAATCGTTCTTCATTCATTCTCTCGACATGGCCAAACTATCTCAGCATACCTTTCTCAATTTTTGTCACTACATCTTCTTTCGTGGTCTGAAAGAAGATATAAAATGAAAACTCTTATTTTTTGAATGTTTAAATTATATTTATATTTTTTTTGTATTAAATAGCAAAACAAAAAAGCAGAAAAAAAAGCAGTTGCTGCCGCTGACAGTTCAGATTCTGATGATGGAGAAGATGCATTACAGAAATTTTTAGATGGAGAGGATATCGACACTGATGAGAATGATGATTCCTTCAAAGTAAATACATCAGCTGAAGCTGACGACAGGTATGTTTGATGTTCCAAGTGCCTTTTCCTTTCATAATGTTAGTTCAGAATGCAGTTAACGTTACTCCAATCGATGATGATTCAAAACATTATGAAATTAATGATCATATGCTAATCAGCTTGGACTATGTACCGACAGAGCTGGAAGCAATATTGCTTTCCTATTGCCATCAACATATTGTGGTTCTGTTTTCTTCATTATATTTTGCAACCAGGCTTTATCATAATTACAAGAAGGTGAGTATATGCTACAAGATATATAATAACAAGAAGTGGGTAACAAACACTGATTTCAAAACAAAATTATAAATATTTAAATTAAAAAAATACTAATAAAAGACCAAAAATTTAAGAGAGAGAGATAAACTTAAAGCATATCTTTAAACTTTACTTATTACTACTGGATTTTTGATAAGACCAATGTAATGTAGGCACTATGAATATTAAATATTAAGAGTGATTAAAAAAATTGGTTTTTGAGATAATAAAGTTTGATTTTATTATTTATTGAAAAAATCTGGCTTTTATATGTATATACAGGGTTACTAGGAACTCGACAACTTCCTGGCAGCGCGTGATAGGGGAGTCAAAATGCTACAAATTTGACCCCCTATATGTATGGCCGAAAATGAAAAGGTTTTGAGATATACGGATTTTAAATATTTTTCAATTATCACCCAGAATTTCGTATTAAATTCTAAATAAAAATAAAACCTTGTCTTTTTGCATGCTTTATTTTAAGTTTATTTATTTTCTTGAAGCCTCAACCAAGCGAATACAATCTTAAAAAGTACAAAAAGTATTCACAATAAAAAATTATGGGGCTTGATAATATTTTTTCTTTTTTTTTAATACTGTATGTTATAATGTTAATTCAAAAAATTACTATATATTTTAAGAAACATGTCCATTTAATCAGCTATCCAAAAAGGTAATAATATTGAATATCAAATATATATCGTAAAGTCCTTCTTTAGCGTTTTTATAAAAATAATAAAAATGTGATAAATACGTATGAAAATTTTATTAAAGTTAAAGTTACAGCCTATATACGTCCCACTGCTGGGTCCAGGCCTCCTCTAATTTCTGAGAGGGTTTTAGGGCAAGGAAATGTATTGTAGTTAGCGAGGGTAATAGGAATCTATCAATCGATGGATTCAACTCGGCTGGGCAGCGTTCGGGAAACTACGACACATCTTCTCTTCAGACTTTCTTCAAAATCTTAAAACGAAATTATACAACCAGTGCGTGTTGCCAGTGATGACTTACGGATCTGAGACGTGGTCCTTCACTCTGGCCGTATGAGGAAGCTCAAGGTCGCTCAGCGAACCGAGAATGGAGAGGGCTATGCTCGGGGTTTTTCTGTGTGATAAACTTAGAAATGAGTATATCCGCAGTAGAACCAGAGTAACCGACATAGCCCAACGGATTAGTAGTGGCTGCTGCTGAAGCTAAAGCTGAAGTGGCAGTGGGCCGGCCATATAGCTCGAAGAACCGACAACCGATGGGGAAGAAAGGTTCTTGAGTGGCAGCCTCGTATCGGTAGGCGAAGTGTAGGGCGACCCCCAAAAGATGGAGTGACGACCTGGTAAGACATGCAGGGAGTCGATGGATGCAGGTGGCTCAGGACCGTGCTTTGTGGCATTTCTTGGGGGAGGCCTATGTTCAGCAGTGGACTTATGAAAGGCTGTAATGATGATGAATGATGACCGGGCGTGCATGTATACGTGAGCGTCGTCCTTTCGCACCGCACCGGGGGAAACATTATTCAGTGAAATTCACGATAATTCATAGTAAAACGCGCTCTTAAATAAATACGAAAAGGCCTTTGGAAAATCGAGTTTTATGTAAAAACCACTGCATAAATCAATTCCAAATAAAATTTATTGAATTCTTCGATAACTGAGTTTTGTCGGTACCAACTTTTTTTTGGAAATTTTACATTTCTTTTATTACTAATTTACGCCCAAAGTTGTGTTAAAATTGGCAATAAAAACGAATCTTTGGTAGCTTGTAACTTTTTGACTTTATTTTACTATTCTGTTTCCGCACAGACAAATTTAATAATGAGACAAATTGATATGATGTTTAACTTTGGATGTATAGTGTCAAAAGAGCGAATTAATACCCCCTCGAAATTTCTATAGAAATAATGATGACTAATGTCACCCTATTAGCATCAATTATCAACCTTAACCAATTATCAATTTTAACGGTGCTAGAGCCCCGCAGCAGTTTTTGCTGTTGCACGTATGGGCCGGCTCGAGCCGGGTTGGTACCACGACCTCACAGAATACCGGCGTGAAGTAGAGGCTCTGCTTCTGCGTTTCGTCTGGTGAGTGCAGGTGGCCGGAGGCCCAATTCCCCCCCCCCCCCCCCCCCATCAACATGATAGCGGAATTACACAGTAGACTACCCCAGGAGGGTACCAGTACCCCTGGAGAATCCCTCGCTGTGCATCCACGACCATGTTATTCCAATCCTGAGCGTGGGTGCTCAGGCTGCCCCGCGTATTCTGGGGGGGGGGGGGGGGGGGGGGCAAAATTCCGCTCAAAAACAAAACTGCTCGTGGCAAACTGAGCAACGATACCAAGGCGACCCCTGCCACGCTATCCGTGAATTTCTGCAACATCAGGGGACTTCACTCTAACCTAAACGCCGTCCCGCCTACGGGTGCCTCTATAGGTCCCATAGCGGTAATGCCGAAACAGACCGACTCATCGACCACGTCCAAATGGCTACAGATTCCTTGCTACAACAGGTCCCATCCGCAGAGATCGTGATCCTTGGCGATTTTAACGCCCACCATGCCGAATGGCTCGGTTCACGTTTAACCGATCATGCGGGGAGATGTGTATATGACTTTGCCTTGGCATATGGTCTGGCACAACTGGTTACTTTGCCTACGCGGATTCCAGATGTGGAGGATCATACACCTTCCCTGTTGGACCTTCTGCTGACCTCTCATCCGGACGGATATCAGGTTTCCGTCGATGCCCCTCTCGGCTCTTCGGACCATTGTCTGATCCGGAGTATGGTGCCACTCACGCTCCCTTCGCGGTTGCGTTCTGCAGGTTGCCACCGTGTTTGGCATTACAGGTCGGCGGATTGGGTCGGAATGCGGTCTTTCTTTGCATCCTACCCATGGGGGCGGGTTTGCTTCTCGCCGGATGATCCCAGCGCTGTTGCTGACTCTGTCACTGATGTGGTGCTACAGGGAATGTAACTATTTATTCCATCATCTGTGGTATCCATCGGAGGCAGATCTCAGCCTTGGTTTGGTCGCTCCTGTAAGACTGCATTGCGCAGTAAGCAGGAGTGTTATCAAGCCTGGGCTGCGGCTTCGGTGACTCGGGATCTAAACACCAGCACATTAAAAAAGAAGTATAACTTCGCCTCCATGTCCTTGAAAAGAGTTATTGCCAAGGCAAAGTCAGAGCACATAGGTAGAATTGGCGAGAAACTAGTTCGCCTTCCTTCGGGAACCCGTGCATTCTGGTCTCTCGCCAAGGCTGTCCAAGGGAATTTCTGTAAGCCATCACTACCATCTCTGCACAGGGAGGACGACTCACTGGCCCAAGACGCAAAAGACAAAGCCGACCTTTTAGGCTCCCTTTTTGCGTCCAACTCGACTCTTGATGACGGGGGGAAAATACCGCCGACCATCCCGCGGTGTGAGTGCTCCATGCCGGATGTGCTATTCTCACAGCGCTCAGTTCGCAAAGCACTTCTCTCCCTGGACATCCAGAAGTCGAGTGGGCCTGACGGAATCCCCCCAATTGTGCTGAGGACGTGTGCTCCGATGTTGGCACCGGTCCTAACGCGTCTTTTCCGGTACTCCTACTCCCAAGGCGTAGTCCCGAATTCATGGAAGACAGCTTTTGTCCACCCGATCCCTAAAAAAGGCGACCGCTCAGACCCGTCCAACTATAGGCCTATCGCGATCACCTCCTTGTTCTCCAAAATAATGGAATCCATTATTAACTGCCAGCTCATCCGGTACCTTGAGGATCACCAGCTGATTAGTGACCGCCAATACGGTTTTCGTCGGGGTCGATCAGCTGGTGATCTTCTGGTCTACCTGACCCATAGATGGGCGGAGGCAGTAGAGTCCAAGGGGGAGGCGTTGGCCGTTAGTCTGGACATTGCGAAGGCCTTCGATCGGGTTTGGCACAAAGCGCTTCTTTCGAAGCTCCCTTCCTATGGGCTTCCCGAGAAATTGTGCAATTGGATCACCAGCTTCCTTGCAGATCGGAGCATCAAGGTCGTTTTAGACGGTGCATGTTCTGACTACAAGCCTATTAACGCTGGTGTTCCAGAAGGCTGTGTGCTATCACCAACGCTGTTTCTTCTGCATATCAATGATATGTTGCTAACTGGTAACATTCATTGCTATGCGGATGACAGCACTGGTGATGCTCTATACACCGGCCGGGCCAATATTTCTCGGGAAAACGTCGCCGAGTACCGGAACAAACTTGTGTCTGAAGTCGAGTCTTTGCTGGACAAAGTCTCGGATTGGGGGCGACTAAATCTAGTCCAGTTTAATCCTCAGAAGACACAAGTTTGCGCGTTTACCGCTAAAAAGAACCCCTTTGTCGTATCTCCTCAGTTTCAAGGCACTCCCCTTCTTGCCTCAGCCAGTATCGGTATCCTCGGAGTCGACATATCGAGTGACGTGCAGTTTCCTGGTCACTTGGAAGAGAAGGCCAAATTGGCCTCTAAAAAGCTTGGCGTGCTTAGCAGAGCAGGACAGTATTTCATGCAGGCACACCGCCTGCAACTTTACAAGGCGCAGGTTCGGCCTCACATGGAATACTGTTCCCATCTCTGGGCAGGGGCTCCCCAGTACCAGCTCCTTCCACTTGACCGCATCCAGCGCAGAGCGGCTCGAATCGTCGACGACCGAGCCCTTTCCGATCGGCTCGATTCATTGGCACTGCGAAGAGATGTTGCATCTCTTTGCATTTTCTTTCGCATCTACCATGGGGAGTGCTCTGAGGAATTGTTCGGATTAATCCCAGCCGCCAAATTTCATGAACGCACATCGCGTCAGAACTCCCGATACCATCCACACCATCTGGATGATTGGCGGTCCACCACTGTGCGATTTAGAAGATGTTTTCTTCCTCGCACGACTTCCTTGTGGAATCGATTACCATCAGCGATTTTTCCGGACCGATACGACTTAGGGACCTTCAAGAAAAGAGCTTACTCCTTTTTAAAAGGCCGGCAACGCATCTGCAATTCCCCTGGTGTTGCGGTTGTTCATGGGCGGCGGTAGTCACTTACCATCAGGTGAGCCGCATGCTCGTTTGCCCCCTCTCCTATAAAAAAAAAAAACCTCAGTTGTGCTAATGGGTATTCTTCAAAATTAAAAAAAAAAATCAATCCTGTATTTTACCTTAATTTACCTTGCATATATTATAGTGCAAATTATGACAATCAATCCAATAGAAAGTAATCAGTGTTGGAACAGCCTGATTTAATTCAATATTATAAAGTTACTTCTTGGTATGTTGCCAGTAACTTAAAATTTATATCACTAAGTAGATACTATGACTCCAGAGTTTATTGCCAATTCTATTCTATGTATAATATAGGTCTTACTTTTCAAAACAATAATAGTATAATATTAATATCCCCTTCATAAGAGCAAATAAGCATAAAAATTAAGATATTTGACTGTCAATATATAAAAGATGTGAAAAATTTATGAGCTAAAATCCACATGAAAAATAAAATAGTGTATCTATTGAGTCTGAAGGGCGCCTCACTCCCATAAATAAGTGCACTCACTGCTACTACTAAACCCAACACCACTACACTAGGAAAGACACATTTTTTGGCACCAGAGTGGCGCCACTTAAAACAAGCTAAAACATTGTGGTGGGGAAGTTAATTTATTAGGAAAAAAGGGTTCATGTTTCTTTATCAACAGACTTCAAAAAAAGGAGGAGGTTCTCAATTCGATGGTATTTTTTATGTGTACCGCACAATTTTTTTCTGGGATAGGATAAGGGTGATAAACGAGCACGCAGTCCACCTGACGGTAAATGGTCGCTACGGCCCATAGACATCTACATCAATCCTCGATTACAAATGAAACTGCAGATGCATTGTCACCCGTGGAACTAAGATGGAATGCTTCATTTCCAGTAAAAAGGGTCTCCGGTATGGTGAGTGTAGAGTTACACTCACCATACGAAACGCAGCAGCGTTAAGCTGCTATTTTACTCTGGTGTTCTGTGAGAGCGTTTTCCCCGTCGAGCCGACCCATTCGTGCTATAACTATACTACTAATATAGCTGCAGCATGGCTCTACCACGTAAAAGATTCTTTTTTTTTAATTTGAAATAATTCCATGGTATGCCAGAAGAAGCATAAAAGTAAGTTGAATGCAGTGGAGATGCGATCTCTTCGTAAAATGTGCGGCGTTACCATGGCCGACTGAAAGCAAAACGAAGAGATTCGCAATATGGCAGGTTTGAAAGATGACCTTATCACAAAAATTGATAAGGGCGTGCTTCGATGGTTAGGGCACGTTGAGCGAATGAGTGAAGAGCGAATGGTGAAGAAAATATATAGCGCGAAAGTAAATATTAAAAGGTGTCGAGGTAGACCGAGACTAACTTTCGAAGACCATGTGAGCAAATTGCTCAAAGAGGGGAGGGTCAAGAGTACTCGGATACCTAGATGTGCATGTATGAAGATAATGAATCTGAAAGAAGCGAAAGAGTTATGTAAGGATTGTGACACTTGGCAATCTGTTGTCTGGCTACCCCGTCAGGGATTGAGCATGAGCGTGAAATAATTCTTTTGCTTGAAAGCAGATGCTTCTCATGTGGTCCCATTTAAATTTGATCAAGATCTGACCTGTAGTTTTTGAGTTATCCTTGATAATGCGTAAATTGACTTTGACTACATTGATGATGTTCTCATTTTATTCATATTGATGAAGTCGGTTGTACAACATTTTTGATTTTACCATTTGTTTGTTGTAATATTAGTTATATTTTATATTAATTAGATAATTAGATTAGAAATGAATAAACCAAGGTACAGATATTCCTAAAAGTAGAAAAATTAAATTAAAAAATGTGAATAAAACCACTGAGACATTGTTTTGTGTATTTATTTAACACTGTAGAAACCCATAACATTTTATTTAAATTACAACTTCTCAATTATATGACATTGTGTAACAAAAACTTCACCTCAGTCCCTACTAGCGACATCTAGTGAAAGAAAGATTATTAGCCCTCATTAGGTAAAATACACCATTTTATTTTTCAAATGCATTGTAGCTAATTAATACATTGCACATCAACAATATCAACTAATTCTTTGTAAATCTTGACCAAATTCTTACTGTCATAATAATTTATTTGCTTGAACTTAGTGACGCAGAAGATTCTGATGAAGAGGAGGAAGACGAGGAAGAAGAGGAGGATGATGAAGAGGAGGAAAATGAGAAGGCCGACACTTCTGAGGAAGCTAATACCAGCCTTGACACCAGCAAGGACGAAAGTAAAATTGATATGTCTAAATTAAGCAAGTCACAGAAACGACGGCTTAAAAAGAGATTACAACAGCAAAACAAAGAACAACCACAAGTGAATGGAGTAGATAAGCCAAAGGTACGTGATGAAATATTGATGAACTACTTCAATGTAGCAATTTTTTTTTTGTTAAAATTTACAGAAGTGTCATTTGTCCACTGCTGGGCACAGGCTTCTCATTTCTGAGAGGGATTTTTATAATAGAAAAAGTCAAGGCACTGTCCCAAAATATTCCCATACCTCATTTGAACTGAAAATCAGCACTACCGATTGTAACTAAGTTTCATTGGTGCCACTGGGAATCGAACTTGGTTTGTGCATTTGTGTGTGAAATTTTATGTAGAACATATATCCTGATAATTTTTTTTATTATTTCAAGTTAGTAAACTTATCAATGCTTGAGAAATAACCTCTTAAATTACTTGCGTAATGTTTTTGAAAATACGTTATGTATGTTAAAATATTTGCTTTTAAAAGAAGGAGAAACAAGAGGAGAAACAAAAGGGAGAAAAAAAGAAACCAGAAGCTAAGAAGGAAGCGCAAGAGGAGAAAGGTGCTGATAAAAAGGAAAAGAAAACTCTGAGTGGTGGAGTTTTTATTGAGGACTTAAAAGTGGGTGCTGGACCTGTCGCAAAGCCTGGTAAAGTTGTGATGGTAAGTATTAGCTAAATATAAAAGTAAAGATTATAATTGTACCATAAATCAATACAAATGTTACTGGCAAAACCTATTTAAGGTAATAAATTATAAAGTTAAGGTCATATAGCAGCCTTCCTAAGGAACAGATTAATAATAATTACGAACGCGTTTAACGAATTTTTTACAAACTCATCGGAAACAGTCGATAAGTACAAGCCCGAACCTACTTCTATTCCACAAGACAAATTACGCATATAACCAAAATTGACTCTTTAAGACCGGTAAAAACAATTTACAGATCGAAAGAGAGTCGATCGAAAGTACACTATAGAGTACCACAGGGAAGTGTATTGGGCCCTCTTCTTTTTTATTATTTATATAAATTAACTTTTTCCTTTTTATTATCTAAATTAAATAACCTGACAATTAATTTGACGAAAACACATTTTTTTATAGGATAAGGGTGACAAACGACAAACGAGCACACAGTCCACCTGATGGTAAGTGGTTACTGTGGTCCATAGACATCTACATCTATCCTCGATTACGAATGAAAATGCAAATGCGTTGTCACCCGTGAGGACTAAGATGGAATTCCTCCTTTCCAGTAAAAAGGGTATATGGGTCAGGACCAAATTTTTGACGTAACCGCACAACGGAAATCACAACGGAATGTTTTACACTGGAAAATAAATGTAGCACAACAGAATTATTAGGGTGTGTGTATATGGTCGCAAGATTTTAGTTTAATTTAAAATAAACAAAATTCACATTAAGAAATATTTAATAAGTAGTACAAACCAAACAACTTTGTTTTCTTACACTAAGAAAACAATAACAAAATCATCAATCAATTACATTTACTGCTTTTATTGACAATATTCATTGTACTTATAAAGAAGTTGTCGTTTGTTAATGTTAAATGTATATATATATATATATATATATATATATATATATATATATATATATATATATATATATATAATATCATACCCACGAAATAAAATTATCCCTTAAAAAGTAAAACTAGAAAAGACCTCAAAATTGATCTTTTAAACGGCTGAACAGATTTTCTTGAATCATAGATAAGAACACACAATCAAGACGCCATTCAAAGAAAAAAAAATAATATCGGTTCATCCGTTTGGGAGCTACGATGCCACAAGCAGATATAAACGTTAAACTTATATGTTTGCATTGGGGGTTATAAACAACAAAATCCTTACTAATAAACTAATCAGTCAGGTGGCCTACCATAACATATTAAAACAGTATTGTTTTAATCTTATTCCAGTTTGGAGTAGAGATGACGCCATACATCCTGTATAGTTCTGTCTCTTTCTAACACTGAAATGACGTTAAAACAATAATGCTTTAAGACGTCCCGGTAAAACCACGTTCTACATAATATTGGTTTTAAATTGAAAGAAAGAAAAGAGATCTAAACAAAATAAACTTCGTCAAAATCATCAACCAAATAGTAGTCTTTGGAATCTTGCAATAGTCTTATTTTTTTAACAATCAAATCGCTTGTGATAATGTCGATATCAACTTTTTTTGGTACAATGAATTTTAGTTTTGTGGATTTTACAGTCTTTAGGAAGGAGATCGTGAATAAAGTTTTACTATCTTCATTGTGAATTTTCTGAACTTATCCTACGTAGTACCTCCATACTCTTCTTACATAATATCTGACTAAAACAACGTCATTTATTAAAAAATCATATTTTTCTACATTCGCTTCTTGATTCATCGCGGAATTAACTTCAGAACAGGACGGAATACGTTTTAAATATATATTTTCAGTATTTTCTTTCTCCGATTTACTATTATTAGATGACGGTTTTTTTACTGAACTCACATCAAAGTCTAAACCTATTTCTGTAAGCTTCCCAAATGTTTTAAAATAAAACCCACTGTTTTCAGGCGTATTTCTTATATCGGCGAGGATTTTCACTTCACTGTTTCCGTTCTTTTTTCCTTTATTTTCTGATCCTTTTTGCATGACACTATCTAATTCTATCTGTAACACCTTTTCTTCTTCTGTATTTGTTTTTAATATTACATTTTCAGTTCTTAAGTGGTTTTCAATCTCTGGCTTAGTCTTATTCTGTATTATTTTTTCAGATAACATAATTTTCTCTGTTTCTTCCCTGCAGGTTTCCTGTGCTTCTGGATCATTTTCATCAAAATATTCAGCTTAATTCCAATCAGATTGATCGCTTTCGGCATATTCGATCTCCGTATCCGTATCTTCGGAAGACGAATCTATTTTTATCATATTTTTCCTGAATCTATCTCTACGAACTCTTGGTTGTTTTTCATTGATTTCCTTTATAAGAACGTGACTTTTAGTAGAAAAGCAACCGCAATTACCTCGCCTGCAAAAGCAGCTTAGCGCTCTGTATTTAACGGTATTTTTATTTTCAGTGACGATGACTTGGTGTATTTTCATTGTGGACGGTATCGGTAAAATTTTTTCGGGATTAGATATATTAATTTTTTCTATGTCTTGGTTAGAAACGTAAAATGTCTTGACGGATATTTCTGATTGTTTTAATACCTCAAATACGGACCTTGCATCGACAATATCTGTACCATAGGCAACTCTGGCATCCAAGGTTCTTTTAACTACACCTCCAACCCCATCGGCTGCACCTTTCCCATGAGACGCCTCGAAAAAAGACCAGGTCGCTTGATGGAATCCTTCATTTTGCGTTATTTCACAAAAAACATAAGTTGTATTTTTGACGATATTGCGTCGTGGGTCCATCAGACCAAACGTGGATGCGACTAACCGTGGGATGTTTTTCTTTAATAAACTCTGTAACTGGTTTTAAATGGCCCCATATAGCTTTGGGACCATGCTTGAGTGAAGGAGAAACGGTGCAAAAACATAACGGTTTCTCATTTTTTATATATATTAGGCCAGTATGCAACGTGCCTTGTGTTTTTGATGATCCAAAGTGCATGGCCTGCACTTCTTGAGCCATTTTACATACGTAATTCTGCGAAAAGTCACAGTGAAGAATAACTTCGTCATCTTCTACTTTTTCAATTGATTCTTTATATTGTAAATATTGGTGGTAAATGTTATAATGATGGGCTTTAAAATTTTTGAGGTCTCGTTGTATCAACTCGGCAAGATTATGAAGTAACCCGGTTTGTTGTAATTTAACCATTCTTTTGGTTATTTTTTTTTTCACCGTCAATTTCAAATTCGTGAGTTTTACTAATAAATTCATACCAAGATACTTCCATATTATCATAATTTTGGTCAGTGGATACAGTAATTTCAAGTTGTTTATCACGGCACAGTTTACATTCCGAATGCATGCAACCTTTTGACTTTACGTCGCATACTATCTGAGAAACTAAATCAGTTAGATCTGTTGTTTTTATTAAGCCTAATTTCTTTAAAGCTTCAGTTTTAAAAGTTAAATTAGAATGTTTAATACAAGCACATGTATTGCGGTTGCTTAAATTCGGCGGAACTATATAAAATGGACGGTAGCGTTTAAATGTCGTAAAGGATACAGTTCCGCCTTAATTTTTGTATTTTTTATACAATTGCAGTAGCGTATCAAGCAAAAATCGTTTTTGTTTTTGTATTTTATTTTTAGTCACATACTCTTTCTTGCCTGCAGTCATACGACTTACGTCATCTCTTTCAAAGAATTTTTTCAAATCATATGCTGTTTTTATTCTCTTTTGTTTGATGCTGTAGTACCTTTTTACACCACTCTTAATACCTAAGCATTTTGCCAGGTTTCTTTTCATGTTATATTTCGTGCCTGTTTCACTTTGTGTAAGCTTTTTCAACATATTTTTTTCTTGGAATGATTTACTAAGTTTATACGTTTCTTTTAAGGACTCTTCAAGAACATGCTGTTGTAAAAGTTTTTGCTTAACTCTCTCTTTAGCTTCCTCTGAAATATCAGGAAGTTCTTTCTCAATGAAAATGTTAGATTTTGTCTTAGGAGTAAGTTCATTTAGATAGTGAAGTTCCTCGATTTCAGCTGATTGTGACTGGTTTGTAATAGTTTTTCTCGATTTCTCTTGTGATTTTTGCTTGTCCAACTCAGCAGTCAGTCTTTGTACCTTTTTTCTTGAGCGTGTTAACATTTTTCTTAAATTCTCGTTTTTTCGACGCAGAATTTCTACTATTTCTTTTAGTTTTATATTTTGTCGCCCTACTTGGCTACGATAGCGACGACGTGCCATTTCAGCTTCGACTACCAATGGTTTATTTTCTTTTTCAAGTTTTTTACGTTTAGCATCTCTCCATTGTTTTCTCACATCTTGTTTTTCATTTTCGCTCATATCGCCTATTTTTCGTTTTTTAGCTTTCGTTCTTTCCAAATTTCTCTTTTTCATTTCTTCAAACTTTTCTGGATTGTCTTTTTTTAGTTTTTCGCGATACTTGCGACATCTTTCTGCGGATGATAAAGGCATCTGAAAAGCAACATTGATAAATAATAAAATGTAGCTACTATGAAATCAATCAAATTATGAATCTAAACTATTGTAAGAAGACAACAATAAGATCAAAATAAAAAAATCTGTTGGTGGCAGTTACTACAGTTCAATCTATGATCGTATGCCATCGACTAGATACTTTTTGAAATAAGTTCTTTATTGGTTTTGATCTTTTTACTTGTTTTTATTTTTTCTTTTTTTTTCAATTGTAGAAGGTCATGTTCTAGATAAAAAAACACTAACTGCTGACTGAGGAAGCTAACATTACAAAAGGAATCGAGAAAAAGGATTTCATAAACCTATTATAATCAGTTGAAATCGAGGATTTTCAGTACATAAATGAAATCAATCTAAAACTAAACTAAAGTCGTAGGTATTTTAAACTTAATAAAACAAGTTACGGAGAAATCTGTGTACGTAACATACGTACGTATACGTACTCCTTTTTTCAAGTCATTTAAAAAAATGAAGAGGCTCACGAAAAGTGAAACAAACAAGAATATAACGCGACAATAAATCTGGCAAAAATTTAACTATTATTAAAATACTAAATTATTAACTACTGAAATAGTTTTTTTACCATAAGTAAAAAAAGAGTTTCATTCGAGGAACCAAGATGTACCTAATAATGATGTTTATGTAGCACATCTAGGAGGGGACATAGACACGAGCATACAAACATACCAACTAAAAACATTACCCTCCTTCTGGGCTCTGGCACAGTCAAGTAAAAATGTATAAATATCAAACGATAATTCGACTCATAAGTCATAACATAAGTAGGTACCTTTATACACATACCTTTAGAAAATTCCCATGTGACACGTCGCACAATTTCGTGTCATTAATCGCACAATGGAATAAAAATTCTTTACAACTTAACCTAAAAGTTTCAACAATTCATAAATTTAATCATGAATCGAACACTTCTACAGGGCTTTTCACAGTAAATCTTTGTGGGGCATATTATATAACTCAATTTTAAGGAAATCTTCATATATATTATTATTGTACTCAACTAAACTGACAAAATTTTAACGACACGCGGCGACGATACAAACAAAATGTGAAATGACGATGAAACAACATGGCGGCTTTCCGAAATTTTATGGCCAGTACTTGAAGCCAATGTTGCCATAGTAAACAGTCAAGAAACTTCTATCATAGGTTTGTAGGTTTCGAAACGATGGTGTCGCACAACAGGAGTGTTACAACGGAATGAATTTTGGGATGCATGTAATATTACTTGTAAAAACTATAATAACGATGGTTATTGTGATATTATTTATAAAAACGATTACCAGTGTTTATGAGACTTTATAAATAATAACATAAAAATGCTAGCTCACGTTAAATAAAACATACGCCAAAAATATTCTAAGGTATTCTAGGCCCAAAAAAATCGAGTTAGGTATTATGTTTTGTTATGGCGAAATAAAACAACGAAATTAGTTATTTGATGAAGGATAGTATATACAATACACTAAGATAAAATTAGCAAATATCGAAAGTTATTTTAAGGTATGATAAATACACAATTTTTTGTCACATAAGAAGAGTCGGACACTATAGTATTTCTGTATGCGTCAAAAATTTGGTCCTGACCCATATGAGGTTGCTAATTTTGTTCGAAATAACCCAATTTATTTTTAAATGAATACTGCCGGAAGTCGTCGTCGGAAGGCACATTGGAAGTTAACAATAAATGCAAAACCCTTCGAATAATATGTGTAAATTGCGTGGTACCAAAAATCTATAATAAAATTCCATTAAATATCCGATTAATTAATGATGTCAAAAGATGTAAAACTGCGCTCAATGGCTTCCTTGCTGAAAAAGTGTACTATGACAATATTTTTTGATGACAAAATGTAAAAATTACTTCAATTATGTCCATATACCTCTAAGGTGAAACATGGTTGTACCTAATAATAATTTTGTATGTGACATCCTGGAATACCCATGTTTATGAATTAAATGATTGATTGATGGATCATACTAATCAACACATGTCACAATTGACCAGGCTAGGCCCTAATATGCTAAATAATCATAATATTTGTCACTTTGTTTTCTACTCTTTGTATGCCACTCAGTTGTAACTTTCAAAGTATATTATTATTTCTATATTCTCAAGTATAATATTGAGTTACAGCCCACTGCAACGTCTACTATGTCCCACTGCTGAACATAATTTTAGGGCAATGAAATATCAAAGCATAAAAGTCTTGTGTTCTTGTATTGGCTATTCAAATTAAAAGTAACAATATCTTGTGATTACAACTAAAATAAAAACAATATGATTTTATTTTAGTTCATTTTTGGTGACAAATTTAATTAATTTTAAAAACTCGTCAATAATATTAAATTGTTTCTATAAAAGAAAAATTTTGTTCCAATAGGTTTACTATGAAGGACGCCTAAAGCAAAATAACAAGATGTTTGATAACTGCGCGAAAGGCCCTGGATTCAAGTTCAGGTTGGGTTCAAAGGAGGTCATCAGTGGATGGGACGTCGGTGTGGCCGGCATGAAGGTTGGTGGCAAGAGGAAGATTGTTTGTCCACCTGCGATGGCGTAAGTTTGCTTAGTCTAATAAATAATCTTAAAGTAATTTTTTAGTGAATTTCATCCACTATTTTCAAATTTTGTTAAAGTATCATATAAAATCTTTTTACACTATATAGTTTCTATATTACCTACTTCTTTCATTTGATATTAGATGACTATAACTATAACATGCCACTCACTATAGAAATACGACGAATGTATCCGAAATTATAAATGGTGGAACCACCTAGCAGCATTATGACTACATTAGTACAATAAAGAATTAGTCTTAATCTGTTATATAAACACTAACAGCATTCCACGTAGAGGTTGAGACCTGGTTACCTGTATTACGGCTATCATACCTACCACAGGCACCAGTGATCTACCAAAGTTATGTACTATATATTAGCTGTTACTCATAATTCTAAATGTAACTTTGCTTGTAGTAAGGAAATTAACGTCATTATTATTATTATTAGGAATGGATCAGCAAAACTGGAGAAGCACTACATTTTCACAAAGAATATTAGTGTATAATAAAAATGGTAGCAAAATATTGCCATGTTTTGTACAAGAACTGGAGACTTTTTACTGGTAACAAGGCATTCTGACCTAGTTCTCAGCAGTAATAATAATAATGCATGTGTATTTTGATTTCTCTTTGATGATAGATTATGTTATCATGCAACTGCAGCATCCACTTATCATCAGGTGCACTGTTTTCAGGTAAAGGTAATATTTGTTTGTTCATATTTTATGTGCTGCCATAGTTAAAGGCATAATATAATTAACTTACAGCAGGTGGCGCGTGTATCGTATCTACAAATTTATTTTAAAGTTATATATCATTCGATTTCCTTTAATGTATTTATTATTCCTAATTAAAGAATATAACTCGTAAATTTAAAATTATATTTCCACTATTAGATCTTTTGCGGCATCAATGCGCCGAGTACCAGTTAGTAAGAAATAAATTGTTGAGCTTCCAAAATAGTTGAAGCTGATTAGAGATCACTTGTCACTATAATACTTATCTGAGTATATTTTATAATATTGAATATGCTATAAAGTATATTTTCACATCTTGTTAATTTCAATGTACGCTTTTTGCAGGTATGGAGCTAAGGGATCACCACCAGTTATTCCACCCAACTCAACCCTAGTTTTTGAAGTGGAGTTGAAGAATGTAAAATAAAGTCTTGTCAATTGTGTAGGTTATCTGAAGTGTTCTAGGTCTTAAAGTTTCATGATTGGAATGAATGTTTTGAATGTATTTCATTAAGAGAACAATGACATCGTGTCTACTATTGTGCCAATATGGGGTATCTGCAAGTATATATCTCATCAATATTATATACATTCTATTTTTTTAAACATAGGACTTTTTTTTAAAAAAAAACTTCACTTTACTGCTTCATTGCATGCAGATGCTGCATATTAGTTATTTAGCACATAAGACAATAGATTTTAAGCTTCAAATAAGCATTGTTAGATTAAGGCGTAGCATTATTACTAGGCAACTTACTGTGTAGTTATAATAAGATCAATTTACGAATATAGTAAAGTTCAATAGTTTATTTAAATGTCAAATTCCATTTCCGATAAATATTGTTTGCTTAGGTATGCTTAGTTTTTGTGCGTTAAACTTGACATAGAACTGAAGAATAAAATTTGAACTATATATATATACCTACCTGTGTTAATTTTAATTGAAAAAAGCAATCGGGGTTTATTCAATTAAATAATATTATTTTTATAAACTTTTTATGATTTGTATTCTCCTTTATGATATAGGGCCATTTAAAGTTTACCAATCCATCAAAATTTAAAAATGAAACAAACATTTGTTATTGCTATTACCCATAAAAATGTTATTTGTGTAAATACTAAGTGTTATAACAGAATTAACATTAAATTATATTCGTATTCTTAAAGAACTATTTTTATTGTAGAGTTCATTTTTATTTCGGAATTCACAAGCAGGTTAATATTATTTTGAAGGTTTACATTTAGCAGCAAGAAGAGCGATATACCCATTTGGTAATCCTAAAATCTCCAAGAAAAGTGATGGCAAGTTGTATTAATTACGATTGTAATCACCACCCTTCTTGCTTAAAATCTCTTACGTGGTAGAGCCACGCTGCAGCTATATTAGTAAGTAGGTATAGTTGTAGCACTAATGGGTCGGCGCGACCACGCCCTCACAGAATACCAGCCTAAAATAAACGAGGCATTACATCTTAGTCTCACGGGTGACAACGCATCTGCATTTTGATTCGTAATCGAGAAAGTATTTGTTGTAAAGGCTCATTAATTGCTGTTAAGCGATCTCGGCATACCTATTAGTATGATGGACTTCAGATTTGTAGTAAAAAACTACTTAGATAGCAACAATATAACAAAGCCACAATTTAAAAACAACCTTCCAGGTTACGAATGGGGTGTATTGTTCTTAGAAAGAAACCCAGAATTTAAAGCAAAAATAGCTCATAACATATCCCGAAAGAGAGCTCCAGTCACACGAGAAATGGTCGAGGAATTCTTTGAACATATTAAAACAAATGGAAGGACTCCCACCAGAAAATATATATATATAACATGGATGAGTCGGGTTTTCATGACGACCCTGGAAAGAAAAAGTTGTGTGCTAAAACGTAAAGTGCTATCACCAACGCGGTTTCTTCTGCATATCAATTACTTATATTATGTTGCGAAGCGGTAACATTCATTGCTATGCGGATGACATCACTGGTGATTCTCTATTCACCGGCCGTAGCAATATTTCTCGGGAAAACGGAACAAGCTTGTGCTTGAAGTCGAATCTTTGCTGAACAGTCTGATAGGGAGCGACTAAATCTAGTCTAGTTTAATCCACAGAAGACACAAGTTTGCACGTTTACCGCTAAAAAGAACCCCTTTGTCGTATCTCCTGTTTCAAAGCACTCTCCTTGTTGCCTCAGTCAGTATTAGTATCCTCGGCGTCGACATATCGAGTGCCTCCAAAAAGTGCTCAGCAGGGCAGGGCAGTATTTCATACCGGCACACTGCCTGCAACTTTACAAGGTGCAAATTCGGCCTCGCATGGAATACTGTTCCCATCTCTGGGCTGGGGCTCCCCAGGGCCAGCTCCTTCCACTTGACCGCATCTAGCTTAAAGCGGCTTGAATCGTCAAGGACCGAGTCCTTTTCCATCGACTCGATTCACTGGTGCTGCGAGAGATGTTGAATCCCTTTGCATTTTCTTTAGCATCTACCACGGGGAGTGCTCTGAGGAATTTTTCGCATTAATCCCAGCCACCAAATTTCACGAACGCACATCGTGGCAAAACTCGATACCATCCACACTGGATGCTTGGTAGTCCACCACTGTACGTTTCACTAGGAGTTTTCTTCTGCGTACAACCTCTCTGAATAGTTTACCACCGGGGATTTTTCTCGACCGATACGACTTGGGACCTTCAAGAAAAGAGCTTACTCCTTTCTATAAGGCCGGCAACGCACCTGCAATTCCCCTGGTGTTGCAGTTGTTCATGGGCGGCGGTAGTTACTTACCATCAGGTGGGCCGTATGCTCGTTTAAAATATATATCCTCTCCTTTAAAAAAAAAAAACTTGAATGTGACATCTGTTATATGAATCAATTAAGTTTTGTTTGGTGGCCTAACCCTACCTTAACAATTCCGCTCTTGTGTGACTTTTTCTAACATGTTAAGGCTCCAGTACACGTTGGTCGAACGCGCTTGGCAGATTTTCGTGGTGCCGTTCACACGTTGGCGTGTTTCATTCTGCGTTGGTAGCTAGATGATGATGGACATTACGGCGATCGCGGCCGCTGCAATATACTTGTACAGCGCTTTCAAACTTTATTTAGAGGTGCACCAGAGAAGAATGATTAAAAAGGCCTCTAAGCTACATTTTCCTTGGGCAACATAAACGAAAAGGAGTAGAAGCGGTAGACAGAACTTTAAGGGATATATAAGACAAAATGATCGACCAATGGGCGGTATCACGGTTTTATTTTGTGGTGATTTCCGACAAACCTTACCGGTAATACCACGGGGAACCCGAGCTGATGAGGTTAGGCTTGCCTAAAAAGCTCTTATTTGTGGCGTGATATACAATCGGTACATTTGACTATAAACATGCGAGTGAGAACTGGAGATAACCCGGATGATCGTCAATTTTCTGATAAATTATTAAAGATTGGGGAAGGTATCCACAACTACACCAAGGAAAACTTATTCTGACGCCTGAGTTATGTTGTATAGTGCAATCCCAACCACATCTTATATCGTCGGTTTACGGTGACGTAACAATTATATTAAATAGGGACAATTTTTGGCTATGCGAAAGATCCATGTTAACTCCTCGCAATGACCAGGCATCTGAGATTAATAACAAAATACTGTCGAATATACAGGGGGAAAGCAAAGTTTATAGTTCAATAAATAGAATGGTCGATGAACAAACAGCCACTAATTACCCGATAGAATTTTGAAATTCTTTAAATATGCCCGGACTTCCTTCTCATGAAATTTGTTTAAAAATTGGCATTCCGATTATTCTGCTCCGAAATTTAAGACCACCACAACTTTGCAATGGAACTCGGCTAAAAGTAACCCAGTTGCAACAAAATATAATCGAGGCTCAAATTTTAACAGGTTGCGGTGCAGGAGAAACCCTCTTTATTCCCAGAATTCCCATAATACCAAATAATTTTCCATTCCAATTTAAAAGAACGCAATTCCCAGTATCATTGTGTTATGCAATGATAATTAATAAGGTTCAAGGGCAGACTTCGTGTTGCTGGAGTAGATCTCGGTGTCAGTTGTACGTCGCTCTTTCCCGGGTTAGCAGTTCTAGGAATCTTTATGTTCACGTGCCGGACGGGTCAACTTTCAACATAGTTTACCCGGAAGCTTTGCGCTGAAGTATTTTTGTTCTATAAGTACTTAAGCCTCATGTGAACGTGATCTAAACAATATTACCAATATATATAGGAATGACGTCTTAGCAAAAGTTATTTAGTCTGATGGGCATTTCCTGTTGACTTACAAAAATGAAAGATCTAGAACGTCTCGGAAATCACGTTGTTTTCCCGTCCCCGGGCTCTTAGAATTCAACATCAGACGTTTCAGATCTTCGATTTTGACGACCCCGTTGTCGCTGGCATAAGCAACAGGATGCGCGTACGAAGTCGCGGGCAGAAGCTAGTTTATAATAATATGTTTCATTAGGTAGGTACTCTGAAGTTACGTACTACTCTGGTTTTATTTTTATGTTGCTCATGTTTGGGGTTCCATATAACTGATTCATTGTGATACGAATCAATGAACCTAAACATTTCCTCATTAGTCCATATCGCCATGTTCGTGAAACAATTTTATTAAGCCGACATTAGTCTACTCCGACGGGTAACTATGAACTGAACACTCGACCAACGTGTGTCGCTGTTTGCGACTTGCGTTATGGCTCCAGTACACGTTGGCCGAGTGCGCTTGGCGAGCGCGCTCGGCAGATTTTCGTGGTGCCGTTCACACGTTGGCGTGTTTCATTCTGCGTTGGTAGCTAGATGATGATGGACGTTAGAGCAATCGCGGCCGCTGTCATATACTTATACAGCGCTTCACTCTTCTCAGAGTGAACAAGAAAAAAAACTACACATACAACAATAATCCCAGTGTGTCCTTTTTGGGTTCCGACCTCAAAAGGAAAAAAGAAACCTTTATAGGATTTACTAGCTACTCGTGCCCGCTTCGCTGGGGGTTTTTTCAAAATAAAAGATAGCCCAAAAGAAGCCCCTAAGCTACATTATCCCTGAACAACATAAACGCAGAGATAATTATTTATAATAATATTTATCATTAGGTAGGTACTCTGAAATCGCAACTAAACATGTATTATTTAATGCAGTTAGGCAAGTTCCTCTGGTTTTATTTTTATGTTGCTCATGTTTGGGGTTCCATATAACTGATTCATTGTGAGGATCAATCAATGAACAATGAATCAATATTTACTCCATAATTATTAAATCGTAATGTGTTGGTATGCATATAAGTAACATTAAAAATATATTATATTGAATTATATATTTTTTCATAATATATGATATTTATTTATATATATACATGCGTATATATATGTGTGTGTGTGTGTATGTATATGTATACATTTGTCTTGTATATGTATATTTATGTAAGTGCACACTTTGACTACCTCTATTTCCTTCAACTATCCTTCAATATGCCTGCTGGAAGAAATTTCATCATGGAATAGGCAGTGCCTTTGTACATAATTATGTTTTTACCATTTTCCTATCGAATTATGTGTGTACATAAACTGTTAAATAAATAAATAAATATTTCCTCATTAGTCCATGTCGTCATGTTGAAACAATTTTATCAAGCCGACACTACAGTTTACTCCGACGCGTAACTATGAACTGAACACTCGGCCAACGTGTGAACACTGCTTGCGGCTTGCGCCAAATTCCTTTGATTTGTGCACGGAAAACCGACACTATACGGCTCGTCGGCGAGCGTTGGCCGCAAACGCCAAATATATACAAAACGGCCCAGTACACGTTGGCCGAGTGCACTCGGCGAGCGCGCTCGGCCAACGTGTACTGGAGCCATTAAATTTCTTCGATTTGTGCACGGAAAACCGACACTATACGGCTTGTCGACGAGTGTTGGCCGCAAACGTCAAATACACACAAAACGGCCCAGTACACGTTGGCCGAACGCACTTTGTGAACGCGTTCGGTCATCGTGTACTGCTGCCTTTAGAAACAATATTTATTATTTACTTACAAAAATTCAACCCTTTTTTTATGACTCAGGGATATGTATTTTGAGTTTTGTATTTTATATTATTTGAGTTTGTATGTTATACAAAATATTTGATATGCACAATGCCCTATTACTACATTGGCCTCCAAAAAAATCGACCCACCTATGTTTTTTCGCAAATATGTTTTTTAACAGTGGTAGAGCCAAGCGGTAGCTTTTGCTGTCGCACGGATGGGCCAGCTCGAACCGGGGTGGTACCACGACCTCACAGAATACCAGCGTGAAGTAGAGGTTTACCTCTGCGTTGCACTTGGTGAGTGCAGGTGGCCGGAGGCCCAATTCCCCCCCCCCCCCCCCTCATCAACATAGTAGTGGAATTAAATAAAAGACTACCCCAGGAGGGTACCAGCACCCCTGGAGAATCCCTCGGTGAGCATCCACGACCAAACTACTTCACTCCTGAGCGTGGGTGCTCAGGCTGCCCCGCGTATTCTGGGGGGGGGGGGGGGGGCAAAATTACGCTCGCGACTAATGCTGCTCGGGGCAAGCGGAGCAATACAACCAACGCGACCCCTGTCACGCTATCCGTGAATTTTTGCAACATCAGAGGACTTCATTCCAACCTTAACGCTGTCCATTACCATCTAGAGACGGCGAAGCCGGCCTTGCTCTTTTTAACCGAGACTCAGGTGTCATATCTCTCCTACCCGGGATACAAATTGGAACACTCCTTTGTGCCCCGGGCTGGAGTTTGTGTATAAGTCAGAGAGGACATCTGTTTTCGACGCCTCGGCAGCCTTGAAGGTACGGACCTGTCCATCCTATGGCTGCGCGTAGACAGCGACGACCATCCCCGCGTCTACGGGTGCCTCTATAGGTCCCATAACGGTAATGCCGACACAGACCGACTCATCGACCACGTCCAAATGGCTGCAGACTCCGTGCTACAACAGGTCCCATCCGCAGAGATCGTGATACTCGGTGATTTCAACGCCCACCACGCTGAATGGCTTGGTTCTCGTTTAACCGATCATGCGGGTAGATCTGTCTACGACTTTGCTTTAATATGGTTTAACACAACTGGTTACTTCGCCTACGCGGATCCCAGATGTGGAAGACCATGTACCTTCCCTGTTGGACCTACTGCTGACCTCTCATCCGGACGGATATCAGGTCTCCGTCGATGCCTCTCTGGGCTCTTCGGACCATTGTCTGATCCGGAGCACGGTGCCACTCACGCTCCAATCGCAGTTGCGATCTGCAGCTTGCCGCCGTGTTTGGCATTATAGGTCAGCTGATTGGGACGGGATGCGGTCTTTTTTTGCATCCTACCCTTGGGGGCGGGTTTGCTTCTCGCCGGAAGATCCCAGCGTTGTTGCCGAATCTGTTGCTGATGTGGTACTTCAGGGTATGGAACTTTTTATTCCATCCTCTGTGGTGCCCATCGGAGGCAGATCCCAGCCATGGTTTGGTCGCTCCTGTAAAATAGCATCACGCTATAAGCAGGAGTGCTACCGGGCCTGGGCTGACGCATCAACGTCTCGGGATTTAAACACCAGCGCACTTAAAAAGAAGTATAATTCCGCCTCCAGGTCCTTCAAAAGCGTCATTGCCAAGGCAAGGTCTGAGCACATCGGCAGAATTGGCGAGAAGCTAGTTCGCCTTCCTTCGGGAACCCGTGCATTCTGGTCTCTCGCCAAGGCTGTCCAAGGGAACTTCTGTCAGCCATCCCTTCATCTCTGCACAGAGAGGACGACTCACTGGTCCATGCCGCAAAAGAGAAAGCCGATCTGTTGTGCTCTCTTTTTGCGTCTAACTCGACTCTAGATGACGGGGGGAACACACCGCCGACCATCCCGCGATGTGAGTGCTCCATGCCGGATGTGCGATTTACACAGCGCTCGGTTCGCAAAGCACTCTTCTCCCTGGACGTCAGCAAGTCGAGTGGGCCCGATGGAGTCCCTCCCATTGTGCTGAAGACGTGTGCTCCGGAGTTGGCACCGGTTTTAACGCGACTTTTCCGGTACTCCTACTCCCAAGGCGTAGTCCCGAATTCATGGAAGACAGCTTTGGTCCACCCGATCCCTAAAAAAGGCGACCGCTCAGACCCGTCCAACTACAGGCCTATCGTCATCACCTCCTTGTTCTCCAAAATAATGGAGTCCATTATAAATTGCCAGCTCATGAGGTACATTGAGGATCACCAGCTGATCAGTGACCGTCAGTACGGTTTTCGTCGAGGTCGATCAGCAGGTGATCTTCTAGTTTACTTAACTCATAGATGGGCGGAGGCAGTAGAGTCCAAGGGGGAGGCATTGGCCGTTAGTTTGGACATAGCGAAGGCCTTCGATCGGGTCTGGCACAAGGCGCTTCTTTCGAAGCTTCCTTCCTATGGGCTTCCCGAGAAATTGTGCAAATGGATCACCAGTTTCCTTGCTGATCGGAGCATCAAGGTTGTAGTAGACGGTGCATGCTCTGATTTCAAGCCTATCAACGCTGGTGTTCCACAAGGCTGCGTGCTATCACCAACGCTGTTTCTCCTGCATATCAATGATATGTTGCTAACTGGTAGCATTCATTGCTATGCAGACGACAGCACTGGGGATGCCTTATATACCGGCCGTGCCAATATTTCTCGGGAAAACGTCGCCGAGTACCGGGACAAACTTGTGTCTGAAGTCGAGTCTTTGCTTAACAAAGTCTCGGATTGGGGCCGACTAAATCTAGTCCAGTTCAATCCCCAGAAGACACAAGTTTGCGCGTTTACCGCTAAAAAGAACCCCTTTGTCGTATCTCCTCAGTTTCAAGGCACTCCCCTTGCTGCCTCAGTCAGTATCGGATTCCTTGGCGTCGACATATCGAACAGCGTGCAGTTTCGTGGTCACTTGGAAGGGAAGGCCAAATTGGCCTCTAAAAAGCTTGGCGTGCTCAGCAGAGCGAGACAGTATTTCATGCCGGCACATCGCTTGCAACTTTACAAAGCGCAAGTTCGGCCCCATATGGAATACTGTTCTCATCTCTGGGCCGGGGCACCCCAGTGCCAGCTCCTTCCACTTGACCGCATCCAACGCAGAGCGATTCGAATCGTCGACGACCGAGTTCTTTCCGATCGGCTCGATACACTGGCACTGCGTAGAGATGTTGCATCTCTTTGCGTATTTTATCGCATCTATCACGGGGAGTGCTCTGAGGAATTGTTCGGACTAATTCCAGCCGCTCAATTAGTACATCGCGACAAAACTCGCGTTACCATCCATACCATCTGGATGATTGGCGGTCCACCACTGTGCGATTTAGAAGAAGTTTTCTCCCTCGCACAACTTCTTTGTGGAATCAATTACCACCAGCGAATTTTCCGAACCGATACGACTTACGAACCTTCAAGAAAAGAGCTTACACCTTTCTAAAAGGCCGGCAACGTATCTGCAATTCCCCTGGTGTTGCGGTTGTTCATGGGCGGCGGTAGTCACTTACCATCAGGTGAGCCGCATGCTCGTTTGCCCCCTATTCTATAAAAAAAAAGTGTCCTATGGGTTTTTACCACAATCAATAGATATTTTTTATCTTGATAATGTAATAATGCAATTATAGGGTTGTAAAAAACTAGAAAACGGCGCGTCAAACTGGATATTTTACATACAAATGTGATGAGACATTGAAACCATAACATTTTACAAATTTACTGTGAAGATGGATATTTACATTTGTTTCCTCCTCTTGCTTTTATCACCGCCTGCATACGCCTATTAAGGGATTGGATCAGCTTTTTTATGTCTTCTTGGGGTGTATGGCGGCTTCCAGTTGATCCGTCTCGGGAACAGGATTTCGGGCTCTAACCTTTCTTTTTATCTGGTCCCAGAGATGCTCGATGGGATTTACGTCTGGACTATTAGCTGGCCACTGCATAACTGGAATTCTGACCTGAAGATATTCAGTTACAATTCTAGCGATGTGCCGTCTTGTGTTATCATGCATGAGTTGAACATTGTCCCCAATATATCCAGCATAAGGCATCACATGAGGTTGCAAAATGTCCGTAATGTAACTTTCAGCATTAGCCGCACGACTGCGAAAGAAAACCAACTCAGTACATCCGGTTAAAGATATGCCACCCCAAAACATTGTAGAGCCTCCAGTGGAGGCTCTACAATGTTTTGGGGTGGCCGTTTGGTGGAGGCCCTCCACCAAACCGCACTGTTTCTCTTATGCAACACTGAACATAACATTCTCCTAGTCTTCACATAACATTACAACATCCATCAGAGCCTACAAGGGTCATTCAGCTTTCATGGCTGAAGAGAACTGTCTTCCATTGACCAATATTCCATTGCATATGTTGCCTAGCAAATTCTAACCTTGCTTGCCGATGAGATGCAGTGAGTTTTGGTCCCGTCGCTAACTTGTGTGGTGTTAGGTTTAGCTCCTGAAGTCTTCTTCTCACCGTATTCTTACTTACAGACACTCCACGAGTTTCCCTCAGCCTACCCTGAACATCAACAGCAGAAAGATGCTGATTTCGCAAAGAAGTCAAGGCAATAAAACGGTCATCCATGGGGTTTGTGAGGCATTCTCTTCCAGATCCAAGTCTCCAGTGGTACTTTCCCATCTCTAAGTATCGTTTATAAACTCTACACACTGCTGATCGACTCAAATCTCCTTGCCACATTTCACTGACTTGGCCCTTTACAAACGAGAGCTACCACTTGGCACTTGCTACCAACAATAAACTAACCTTGCACTCTACGCACAAGTCGACAGTTTTTATTAGTGCACTTAATATGTTACAAATACCCACAATAGAACAATGTAAATAAAAACTAGGTGCAAAAATAATAGGGTTTCTTAAATATTACTAACAAGCCTGTCATTTGGTTATAATAAATAATTTCCATAATAAAAAGAATATTTCAGAGATATTATGTTTTATTTAAAATAAAATGCATATTTGGAATAAAATTAATGGAATAGTTATAATAATACTTGACATTAGAATTATATATGTGCTCTTAATTTATTCTTCTTAATAATTTGTTAACTTCTGTTGATACATTGCATAAAAAATATTTGTCCTATGTTTACCCCTTTGATTATCGAATTAATCACTCTTTTGTCTAATACTTTGGCATTGTTCACTGTTGTTTTCTTTTTGTTCAGTATCCGCGAGCTTGTCTTCAGATTTGTCTTGAATCTGTTTTCGTCGATAGGAACAAACGCCGCCTTCACAAGTAAATGGAAATTCTGTCTTCACATTACCATCTGCATCTTTAACAGCCCAAGGATTCCAAAAACGTAGAACATAAGGTTGTACAAATTTGTGCCACAAAAACAATAAAACTGGAATAATGAAACATGGGACACATACCATTTTGAAAGTATATTAAAGTTTGTTATTCACAGTAAAACTAAATTTCAATCGGTTAACTCATCAAATGGGAAAGGAAAGAAGTAAATTTCACTATTCCGTTTTAAAAACATTTGACGGCTATTGGATTTGACATTGATAGATATTTAATTTGACAGTGACAGGTGACAGCTTCCTCAGTCACGGTTTCTTAATTTGTGTAAAGATAAAGGAATATATGCCTATACAGTCAAGTCGACGTATTTTGTTCACAAAATTATTCACATGCTGCTATTTCATTGTGGAGTTTTAGGCGATAGCTTAATCTACCGGACAGTTGACGATATTATCACATGCTGGATAAAAGAACTTGAGATTTGTATCACCATGAAAATACTTCTTACATGCATTCAATGATATATTGATAAAAAGACCCCGCTCACCGTGGCTCCTACTTTCCGGAATGTATCCTTGGATTACACTGACCGACTTCAGTTGTTAGGAATTGAATTTTCTCTGAACCTAAACTATGGGCGGTTCATACAGAGTCCAGAGCCAAAGCAGCCACAAGGAAACTTGGTGTCCTTGCAAGGGTATGGCGGTATTTCACACCTTATATAGGCGGGCAGCTTCATATCTTATATAAAGCGCAAATCCGGTCGTGCATGGAGTACTGCTGTCACATATGAGTTGGTGCTGCAAATGCCACCTGACAGCATTGGACTCAGTGGAGAGACGTGCTAAGAGGCTCATTAGTGACCTTGATTTGGTTGAAACCAATCTTTTCAGCCTCGAGCACAGGCGTAGAGTAGCCAGTCTCTCGGTATTCTATAGGATGCATTTCGGTGAGTGTGATAAGGAATTACACGCTTTAAGTCTTCCCTTTCCTTTCCACCATCGGACAACCAGACGGTCGGCGGGTTTTCATCCCTTTGTTGTCGATATTCCACGCATTAGAACCAAACGGTTTGCTTCGTCTTTTGTAATGCGTACAGCAAAGGAGTGGAATAATTTGCCGGCGTCTATCTTTCCGTCCGAATACAATCTGGGCATCTTCAAGGCAAGAGTGAGTAGGCTTTTGTTACGATAAGACAGTGGGATTTACCATCGAAGGCTTATCTCCAGGTGGGATTGTGGTCAAGCACTGGCTTATAATAAATAAAAAAAAAGTTCACATCTATAGACATTTCATACACAAAATGATCCCTCACTTAAAAATAAGGTAGGCAAAATTGTGCAATCGAAAAAGTGGTTGGGAACCTACCCGCACAAGTACTATCTGTTTGATGAACTTTGATTCATCCCAATTTCAATGTTTGCCTAGTCAACGTCGAAAATTAGTCTGTAATGCTTTACCAATTACTGTTAACAGATGCTGTAAGTGTTATTCTGTTATGTACTTGTAAAATTTGGTATTGTTTTTTTGAGGCAACTCATTTTCACCAATTTTTATTTTGGTACACAGAGTCTTTTTTATTTCTGGTGTTATGTATAACCATGCAATATTACAGCTCTTTAGAGTACCAATAGCCTCTAAACCAATCCACGGACAGACGGCCAGACACTTTCTCCGGCCCATCGGTCTGACTGGCATCGCTGGCAAGTTTTTTTATAGAATAAGAGTGTGTGTATTTTTTTATAGAATAAATAGTGAATAGTGTTGACAAACGAGCACACAGTTCACCTGATAGTAAGTAAATTATAGCCTATATACATCTACATTTATGATCAATTAAGAATTAAAATGTTAATGCGCTGTCACCCCTGAGTACTGAGACGGAATGTCTCGTTTGCAGTAAAAAGGATCTCCGGTTCTCTACACTCACCATACAAAACAATGTAGCAATAAGCTGGAATTCACGCCGATATTCTGTGAAAGCGTGATGTTACGTATAAATCTTTTTGAAAACATTCCTTCATATTTAGCTTATTTCTATGATCTGAGCCTTTATACTTCACAACTGACTGTTAATTTTATAAATATGGAATAACATATTATAGTACGCTGCTATAGAAATAAAAAATAATTAATCTGGTATCTAAAAATACATGGCGTATTTTTAGATACTTTTGAAGTTTTTATATTATATTTTTTTACAAAGCCTACTACTTATTTACATGTTGGCGTCTTTTTCGCTAAAATAGCCAATTTTATTAATTTCATGAAAAGACACTAAAAATAAATTTAAAAAAATAAGAACCCTGAAAAACTGCAACAGAGGATCAATGAGGGCTAATAATCTTCCACTCATCAGATGTCGCTAGTTGTAACTGAAGTAAAGTTTTTTGTTACACAAGGTCAGTTATTTGAGAAATTAGTTTTAAATAATAGGCACGGAATCTTGGCCAAGCGGTTATCTCGCGATAGCAAAAGCTTTAAGTGTTTCTGATGAATGTTTGTTATGCAGGTATGTCAAAAAATGTTTGCTCTCAAGTTCAAGAGGGTAATTCATTATGTTTAAGTGCACCATGACGAATTCTTTAATTTTTAGTTGAATCGGGTCATTTGAGCGACTAAGTTCACATTTTAAATTTGTGTGTTGTGAAAAGTTTACTGTAAGGTTATTCAATTATTGTGATCTTGTGTCTTAATTCAATAACTAAAGGTGCTTTATAGCCAATAAAAATGCCATTAACACCAGCACAAGTTGCACAAGCAGTAGCATTAATTGACCAAGGGCTGACACAGCGTGAAGTTGCTATTGTGCTTAACGTACCACGGTCCTCAATGCATTATTCACTGAAACGATACCAGGAGACAGGACGCTACACCCGCAGGCCAGGCAGTGGGGGCGTAAGGTGCACATCGGCCCGGGACGATCGTTTTATTGTTATGGAGATTTTGAGAAACCGCTACCTGACCGCTGTTGAGATACGCCAGCGGCTCCAAATCGCAAGAAGCGTTAATGTTAGTGAGCGTACGATGAGAAGACGAATGGAGGAAGTGAATTTAAAAGCTCGTAGACCAGCACGAGGTCAAGAACTTCTCAGACAGCACCGAGTAGCCCGACTTCAGTTCGCAAGAGAACATGTCAATTGGACCCACGAGCAATGGGCTAGAGTGTTGTTCACAGATGAGTGTCGAATAGCTTTACGTGCTCCAGATGGTCGAGAACGAGTGTGGAGAAAAAGAGGAGAGAGGTTTCTACCCATTACCACCACCCAAACTGTGAGTTTCCATGGAGGCTCAATAATGGTATGGGGAGGTGTAAGTTCCGACGCACGTACAGAGTTGGTCATCGTCGATAATCAGCTTACAGCTACTCGATACATCGAGGAAGTTCTTCAGGAGCACGTAATTCCTTATTCGGGATTCATTGGACACGACCAATTCCTCCTCATGCACGATAATGCACGCCCGCACGTCGCACACTGCGTAGAGGAATATCTGGAAGAGGTTGGAATACAAAAATTACAGTGGCCAGCTCGTAGCCCGGACTTAAATCAAATTGAGCATGTATGGGGTATGTTCAAAAGAAAGATAAAGTCCAGCTCCAAACCGCCACAAACTCTAAATGAGCTCCGAAATGCAGCGCTGGCCGCTTGGGACAGCATACCGCAAGTTGATGTCAGAAACATCATTCAAAGCATGCCAGATCGAATGCAAGCGGTTATCAGGGCTAGGGGAGGAAACACCCGATATTAAAACTGATAGACAATAAAGAAACAGACTTAATTTTTAACTTTGTAGTGTTTTTAAAGTGACAATGGAAAGATGTTAATTTTAGTGAAAACATGTTATCTTGAAAAGAAAAATTTCGGTGAAGTAAACATTAAATTTCTACGATCTAAAACCATTAGAGACACTTATTGAATGCATCTACCCTTAATTTACTGTTAAAAAAACGTTTCAGTGCAAATAATCAGCAAATTCACGAGTGGCCAAGTTTCCGTGCCGGTGAGTTTAGTTCATGAGAAATTAGTTTTAAATAATAGTTTATCAGTTTATAAAGTATTATATTAATACGCAACACAATACGTCAGTGATTTGATCTTCAATTTTTTGTACTTTATAACTGTTTTTTTTTTTAATTTTTCTACTTTTAGTTACATTTATAGTTTGGTTTATTTATTTCTAATCTAATTAATATAAAATATTAATTAGATTAGAAATAATAATATAATAATACAGAATGATACATTACATACATTACCTTTACATTTTTCTAAGACATTATCTTCCCCTCTATGAAATCTGTCAAAATATTTAACCTCATTGAAGTGGCGCCGCCCTGGTGGCAGAAAGTCGTGGATGCCCACATTTACATTGAATTAATCACGCTGTATATATATTATATATAACTTTTATTATTTATATCTTAGCGCTGTTGCAAATACATTTATACACCTAGGTACTTTTAACATGAGTTGGCGCGAAAATGTCCAAGACAAATATAAGTACCCAAGTCATATGTTACCGACATGATGGTAAAATAGGCTGGTATGGGCAAATATATAAGGATATGACAGACTAACTAAAATGACAATAGTCAAAAAGCTGTCCGAAAAAGGCCATAATAAAATTGGTGCAACTAAATGGAAAAACAAGAACATAAATTAAATGGCTTTAATCACATCGTGGATAAGAATGTAGATAGTTTTATAATTAATCTAACGAACTGTTTTAAGGTGCCTACGGGTACATGTTGGCTAATAAGGCCTGTCGGCTAATAAAGTCTAATCACAGAATAAATAAGTATAATACATAAAAATCGTATTTATAATAAACGCACTAGCTTAAGGAGATAATAACAGACTCCTATTGTAATGTCTCTAAAAGTTTTAGAGACGCGCTACCCACCGTTATTTCATGATAACTGTCATCCTGTTTAACTGTAGTTAAAGTATTTGTATGGCCTACAAATAATTGTTCTGAATATTTGTCCTTGTGCACTGCCCCAACGAAATAGGAGAAATTCTAGTGTGGTCGTAATATTAACGGTCATGTACGTCCACGTCACACCCGCAGTTGTTGGGAACACAACGCTCAAATTTGTCGACAAATATGTTTACCAAAGTATTGGACTAGATAAGTCTAACTTCGACCAGGTCCTCAATCGGTGGATCCAACTTGGCTTGGCAGCGTTCGAAAGATTACGACACATTTTCTTAGTCTGTTTCTAGGACCTCTCTTCCGGACAGATATCAGGTCTCAGTCTATGTCCCTCTTGGGTCTTTTGATTACTGCCTGATCTGCAAGCTATCGGTGTGTGTGGCACTATAGTACAGCGGATTGGGATGGGATGCGGGGTTTTAGGGCATCCTACCCATGGACGGATTTACTTCTTTTGGGTGATTTCAGCATCGTTGCTAGGTTGTTGCCGATTGAGTTTTTTCCCTCATGCAAAATTGCCTCGCGGCAAAAAGGCGTTGTTCCAAACTAATAGAAGACAGCCTTAGTGCATTCCACCCTTAAAAAGGTGACCGCTCGGATCCGTCCTATAACAGACCTATCACCATTACCTCCTTGTTCTTCAAAATAATGGAATCCATTGTTAACGGTTAGATCATGAGGTACCGTGAAGAGCATTAGCTGATTATTGACTGTTAATACGGTTTCCGTCAAGGTCACTTAGCTGGTGATTTTTTTTGTTTAACTGACTCATCGATGGGCGGAGGCAGTCGAGACCAAGTGGAAGGCCCTGACAGTTAATTTGGACATAGGGATATGGCAAAAAGACAAGAAAGTCTTTACAAGGCTTCCTTCTTATGGGCTTCCCCAGAAATAATGCAATTAGGTCACCAGTTTTATTACAGGTCGGTGTATTAACGGTGCATGCTCCAACTCCAACCCTGTGAATGTTGGTGTTCCACAAGGCTGTGTTCTATCGCCTACCCTGTTCCTTCTGTATATCAATGATATAAAGCAGGGAACTCACCTAGCCGTGTAGCATTTAACGTATCTGATACGTCCACGGTTACCGCGTATCCAGCTACGTGCACACTACCAGCCGCCTTTGTGCTTGCAGTGATACCGCCACTCGGCGGGTCACTGCGAGTTTACTGCGCTCCCACGCGAGCGGCTTGCGGCAGGCTCGTGCCTACGTACTCACTTGATACAGTATCAGATACATTACATGTTACACGATTAGGCTTAATGTTGCATACTAGTAACATTCACTGTTATGCAGGCGACACACACACACACAGGCCGTATATACACAGGCCGTGCTAATAATTCTCAGGAACACGTCGTCGATTGCCGGAACAATTTGTGTCTGAAGTAGAGTCTTTCTAAATCTAGTCCAGTTTAACCCCCAAAAGACACAGCTTTTGTCGTATAGCCTCAATTTAAAGGACTTACCTCCGTCCGGAATCCTTGGCATCGACTTTTTAAGAGACGTGCAGTACCGTATTCAACGGAGTGGCCCGAATCGTCGACAACCAAGTTCTTTCCGATCGGCTTTGCGAAAAGACTTTGCATCTTTATGCATCTTCTACCGCTTATACCACGGGGAGTGCTTAGAGGAATTGTTCGGATTAATTACACCTGCTGAATTCAACCATTTTGCACTGCAACAGAACTCGAAATTCCATCCTCATCATCTCAATGGCTGGCGGTCCACTATTGTGCGATTTACGCAAAATGTTCTGCCTTGCACGACCATACTGTGTAATTTAATTCCCCAAGCGTCCCTTTATAACCTTGCGCCCCTAGGCAGGTGTCTAGTTTGCCTTGAGGATAATCCGCCACTGGCTGAAGGGACTGTAACAATGCCCAAATTTCGACGGAATAAAGAGCTTTGTCATCCCCCATGAGCTATGTGCAATGTTGCGTATAATGCAATATAATCTTGGAGTTAAAAAAGGCAAATAAAATCTTATAAATATTTAAATGAAATAATATTATCACGCAATTAAAAAATTTATTTTAAAGCAACGTTACATAAAACAAAAACATATTAATCTTTGCTCGTTACCACATTTCATATAAGTAATCTTAGAAGTAAAAAACAGATAACTTGTTTAAACTATAGTCACCTTTCCTAAAGCAGCATTTAAAAAAATATTTAAAAGTCCTATATCTAGTTCCTTAATTATATAAAATTTATCGATATTTGGAACATAATTTACTACCTTGAAAATATATTTTTTATTATGATAATATGAAAAGGAGTAATCATTGAATATAAATAAATTATTTAAATTATAACATGTTATCAAGACACTACATTTAAAACAAAAATTAAAGACTAATACCCTGTTTTATAATTTGCACCATTAAATACTTAATGCTTAACATTTTATGTATTTATTAATGCTTTAAAAATTGTTCGTATCTCGTAGGTACTTAAAGAGGAAAACATTCGACTGCAGACATTCAAATCAATTCCTCAGATATTCTGAGATCAATTCATTTATAACCATTTATTCATACAACAACAACAACCAGAATTATTTAGACTGCAAAACGGTATGCCTACATTGTATGATGGTAACAAAAACCCTTGACGCAATGATCTTATTTTTTTTTTTGGCAAACAATAAACATTTTTTGTAAACATACTTTAATATTTTACAGCAAATGCAAAATACACATTTCATAACAAGTCACTTCTTATAATGGGTAAAAGGATAATATATATATATATATATATATATATATATATATATATATATATATATATATATATATATATATGTATATATATATATTTAAAATATTATAGGTACTTTTTTATCTTTTTGTTTCTAGCACTCGTATTCGAGTTTCTACTAATTTACTCTCATGATAATGTAAGCCAGCCATAAGTAAGGATGATCGTACATACTTTCCTATTGAAAATTATAAAAACATAGATATCAGTGTAAAGACAATTCAGACTGTTGTTGAACGCCATAGAGCAACACGGGTCACCGGCGGACGGACCGGAGGGGAGTGCAAAAAGAGATCTGCCATAACAAATTTACAAAAAAATAAGAGAAAGAGAGCTCATGTTGCTCTATGCTGAACGCTTGCAAAGTTCGTTCTAGTACTCAACGGAGCTTAGTCCTAGTGTATACTTAGCCTAGTCTTTGTTGGAACTTAGCATTCATTTGGTTGGCTTAATCCGTCAACGACATAATATTCTTTTACGTTGTACGATTTGTTCGAAAATAGAGTCTAGTAGTATTATGATAGTTTTTTATTGTAAGAAAATATCGACTGAAAGTTTTGCTGAAAAAGACTAATAATATAATAGATACATATTTACGCAATATTTACGTATATACGCTTGCTTTAACTGGGTTTTTTTACATAGTTTTTTGATTACTATAATTAATAAAATGGTAGTTTATTTTTGCCACAACGGTTCGGTTCTCTTTCTTAATTTTTTTTAACTGGCTTTCCCGGCTTTGGGTTCTAGCCCTTCTGAACCTTCTCTTCCTTAACAAACTAATTTTTTGTGCGGTTAGTTAGTCTAGTAGTATTATGATAGTTTTTTATTGTAAGAAAATATCGACTGAAAGTTTTGCTGAAAAAGACGAATAATATAATAGATACATATTTACGCAATATTTACGTATATACGCTTGCTTTAACTGGGTTTTTTTACATAGTTTTTTGATTACTATAATTAAAATGGTAGTTTATTTTTGCCACAACGGTTCGGTTCTCTTTCTTAATTTTTTTTAACTGGCTTTCCCGGCTTTGGGTTCTAGCCCTTCTGAACCTTCTCTTCCTTAACAAACTAATTTTTTGTGCGGTTTTGTGAAACAGACATAGTAGTCAAAGGACCGTCTGTCACAAATCTTGAGAAAAACTTGGGAATTTTGGCGGGAATTTGACCGCCGGCGGATTGTTGCACCTGTTTTTAATGGTTTGAAGTGGATTTTGATACGTAAAACTGATGCTATTTGCAAGTGTTCTGCGCATTTGTGAACTATTAGTAGAAACGACGAAACAAGTGCCGATGTGTTGCAAACATTAAAATTGTGTGTCGTCATCGTTGTACTATTATCTATTCTGATCAATGTTATGAATCAACGAGTGGGGAAGTTTTTGAATAAATAATTAAAAAAGATAATTTCCTTTTACTTGGCATTAGCAAAAGTACTACAACCGTACGAGTCTATTAAAAAAGAAAAAAAATTAGTAGAATCAGGCGTTAGTGTGTCTTTAAAACAACCTAATCGTATACTTACATTTGAGCAACTTGTCAAATAATGACATAATATTATGGTTGTTGGAACTCCTTGGAAGTTGGAAAATAGTAATCAGACGATTTTAACACGATCATTTTAGACTACAAAAATAAGAAACTTTGAGCTGTTATAAAGACAGTAATATAAGACTATTTAAAATATATTAATAAGTTCTCTAATTAATAATCCTATAGAACATTTGAGATCTTACTCACAGCACTTGTTTTTTTATAGAGTTAACAATAGTATAATAATTAAATTTCATATATTTTATAACGATAATAAATATCTAATTTCAATAAAAATATACAAATACAATTTATTTACCGTTACTTATTTAGTAAAGGGCACCCATCTTCGATTATAGTTATAAGTTTATAAGTAAAGGCACATGTAAAGTCTTTAATGGCACTAATTTAGACTGATTAAAGTGAAGGCACGGGTCCTTTTATAGCTTAGCTACCTTCGATGCTCGCCAATGCTCCCTTTAAAGAAGCTGGAAGCTCTGGCAATCTGTATACCGGATCAGAAATTGGTGGCAAAATCAACGCATCCACCGACTTCTCGTAACTATTATACGCTAAATACAGCTGTGACACCCGATTTATCTCGTCCTCTGTCATAGCCACTGAGCGTAGTTGTTTTTTAAATTCAGAATCACATTTTGAGCAAATTTCTTCTAGAAAGAAGGTTTTAGTCCTTTTAATTACGTGCTTGCATCGTATCGGCTCGACAAACTTGTACCTTTTGTTTTTACCATTATGTTTGTGAACTTTTTCGTCACTATCAGAGAGCAAGACGAGGAGGTCTTCACTTCTCCCCTTTGAGCAACCTCTCCTAGCAATTATCTCTCCTCCACCCTGCATAAGCGCTGAGCACAATTGCGCCGAAGGGTTTTCAAAGTCGTAGTACACACATTTGGACGCCGAACTAGACATGCTGTTGTTCTCCATATGTAGACTATACCGAAGGCAGATTTTCTTTGGCTTGTTGGTGTATTTCAGGTATACATGTATCGGTATCTCTATGGAGGCGCATCCGGACTCTTGGATTTCATATGGCGGCTCTTGGAGAACTGTAATGATAAAAAAAAACAATAATAAATAGGTATAGAAAAACACATACACAAAACGATTCCTATAGTAAAATGTCGTCAGGGTAGGCATCACTCTCTTACTTCTTCTAAAGAGTAGTGCACGCACTGCTGCGTTCTGGTCTAAAAGATATAGAGAGCTTGTGTAATCATATATTATTACTTTTGTTAAAAGTAATAGTAATTGATTGAAATAACAATAATTAATTATTATTGTCGTTTTTAAAAGCTAATCTTTGTAATGCCTGAACCAATTGTAATAAAACTTCACGAAGAGATATAGATCAATGCCATGAGGGATTCAAGCTATATTTTAGCCAAAAAACAAGCTAGATTCTTTTTGAGAAATCGAATGATTGATAAAATAATTGGTTTTGATCTCATAATGCTACTACAAAAAATGTTTTTAAACAAAACTTTCTAGATTTGACATTTTACACTTATAAAACTATTGAGTAATACTCGTATACGTGAGGCGATTTTTCCCCGATTTTTTAACCCCCCTTGTGAGATTTCGTGAGTTATGGCTCGACCCACTCATTCCACCTACAAATCTCATGTGAGATTTTTCAAAATGCGTATTTTTAGTGTAAATACGTTAATTTTGCGTTGATGGCGTAAGATTATTTAAAAAAATTCGCATAAACGCAATAAATATTACTGTGTAGGATTTAGCCATATTTTACTTCATCATTACAGCCCACTGCTGAACATAGGCCTCCCTCAAAAAATGTCACAAAGCACGGTCCTGAGCCACCTGCATCCATCGACTTCCTGCATATCTTACCAGGTCGTCACTCCATCTAGTGGGGGGACGCCCTACACTTCGCCTGCCGGTACGAGGCTGCCACTCGAGAACCTTTCTTCCCCATCGGTTGTCGGTTCTTCGAGCTATATGACCGGCCCATTGCCACTTCAGCTTACTAATCCGTTGGGCTATGTCGGTCACTCTGGTTCTACTGTGGATATCCTCATTTCTGAGTTTATCACGCAGAGAAACTCCGAGCATAGCCCTCTCCATAGCTCGCTGAGCGACCTTGAGCTTCCTCATCCGGCCAGCAGTGAAGGACCACGTCTCAGTTCCATATGTCATCACTGGCAACACGCACTAGGTGCACAGTCTCGTTTTCAAGTTTTGAGGTATACCTGACGAGAAGATGTGCCGTAATTTCCCGAACGCTGCCCAACCTATTTCTTGCAAAAAAAAATATTTGCCGAGACGCTCCCTCTCCCCCACGTGAGATTGGGTGAGATTCGGCTCGAACCCTTTCTCCCCTAAGCACCTCACGTAATGAGGGAATCCACGACTTTTTCTGCCACCAGGGCGGTGCCACTAGAAAGTGAGGAATAATATTTGACAGATTTCGTAGCAGGGAAGTCAATTTGTTCGGAAAATGTAACTTATTGTTTCTTTTTGTAATATTAGCTATATTTTATATTAATAACATTAAAAATAATATTCATAAAAGTAGAAAAATTAAAAAAAAGTTAAAAATGTGCAAAAAATTAAAGAGCAAACCATTGACGCATTGTTTTGTGTATTAATATAATACTCTAGAAACTGATAAACTTTTATTAAAAAACAACTTCTCATTTAAATTACATTGTAACAAAAAAAACTTTACCTCAACTTGTCAACTAGCGACATCTGGTGAGCAGAAAATTATTAGCCCTCATTAACGAACCCGTGATAAGTTTGAACGAAAAGGTGATAAGTTTTTACGTAAAATTAATAGATTTTCGATTTTTTAAGCTATTTTCTATAATATTATATCGCATATAATTTACGGGATAATAGCAAAAACTGAGATTTAAGTAGGTTTTTAATTGAACTACTCACCCTAAGATCACTATTACTATATAATATAGGTTTTTGGTTTTCGGTTTACTGTAGGTTTTTTTGTTTAAGTACGCGGGCGAGGTCGCAAGTAAAAGGATATCATCAATCAATCAATTATTATAAAGCCTAAATTTAGTAATAACGACATAGTTTTTTGTTGTGTCAAATTGAAAACCAATATCTTGATTTTTTTCTCGATCTTTCATCTAGGCATTTCGGACCTTGCCACACTATAGTTACAGGTTACAACAAAAAAAAAAGTATTGAAGTCTTAAACTGTGCATATATTATGGTGTGAAAGATATAAGAAGACTTAAAATATCGGCATAGTTTATGGAGATTTAATTAAATGAAATAAAATAAACAAAAATCTTTTCATTTACCCTACGTAAGGAAATAATATTTTGTTCAATCCGTCTTCATATTTTTTACTTTTTTTTTATAAAACATGAATATGGCATATTAGCTAACTGTCTATCTTTTAGCTACTGACTACTTATTGCAGCTCATCGATACCTGCGGCCATACTAAAGTAGTATAAATTGGCATTCCATGCTCTCCAGAAAATAAATACGTGAGTGTATAACTAGTGAACGGCAGGAGAAATATGTAAGAGGGTTGTAGCTGACCAAGAGTCAAATTGTGTTGTGCTGTTGGTTGAAACGTTCTTGCCTCTTTTTGGGTAGACGAAAGCGCTGGACGGGTGCAAATGGAAGACGACCTTGTGGACGAAGGTGCTGATGTCGCCACCGCGAGCGCCGCGCACCCACACGCGCCAGTCGAGCGCCAGCGCCCGGCCAAGTGGCGAGCGGCGAGGCTCGCAAGCGTGACCCACTTCCAGCCAAACGCGAACACACATCTGGATAATAAAAAATACACGAATCAATTTAGTACCTCTAAATATTTAAAATTATGCTCGGAGGGTATGCTATTAAGACACAAACAACAATTTTTCTTAAATTTTGTCTGCCTGTCAGGGCTATCTACCGTTTGGAATGGCTGAACCGCTTGTGATAAAACTTTAGGAACAGAAAGAGAGCAATGCTAGGAAGAATCTAGTTTATATATTACCCAAAAAAAAGACCAAACGAAGAATTTTATCAAGTTTTCAAAAAAAAAAATAGTGTTTTTATTATCTGAAATCTATCGAATATATCGAGCCGGGGCGGGTCGCTAGTTATGAATGAGCCTTCCTCTTTTCCATCAACAGCTTTTAATCTAATGATGATGGAGCTCTTTTCAAGGATGCGGTACGGCATTACTTGAAATATTATTACGGCTTAATTAAAGTACGAAATAGCCTATTTATATAAAAAATTAAAATAATTTTTTTTCTAGGAAAAATACTATTATTTAATCGAATGTATTTACCTTATTTATCTATAAATTTTTGCCATCTAAATGGAAGATCTTTTTAAATCTTTGCCATTTTTAGATCCATGCTATATTTAGCTATATTTAGTAGTATTTGTAACACGAATGAGTCGGCTCGATCGAAGAAGGACCACGCTCTCTCAGAATACCAGCTTAACGTTACCGTGTTTCGTATGGTGTATAGAACCGGAGACCCTCTTTACAGTACACGAGGCGTTCCATATTAGTCCTCACGGGTAACAACGCATCTGCATTTTGATTCGTATTTGTTCGGAGTTGTTTCTCTGAGTTTGACATCATTGTTCGAAGTTCTTCACATTAGACATCTGTTGTTATCAATAACACATGATCTCAAAAATTTAATTCATGAGGCATCAATTTCTCGAGTATTTTTGTTTCACCAATTTTTGTAGAAAATTAATTTTTGAGGTCCCCATGCCCAACTCAAATACTGAATGTAAAAACAATTGAAAGTCAAATAAAAGAATTTCATAAAATTTTGAATTTAGAATATTATAGTTTTTGTGTAGTATAAAAGTTTTAATCACGAATCTTGGACCATGTATTTTTAATTTTAATTCTAAGTGGGTACTCCATTAAATCAGCAACTTCATACTTTAATCCCTATTTTTTCTTATTTTTTTTTTCATGGAATAACGGTGACAAACGAGCTTACCGTTCGTCTGATAGTTAATGGATGCTGAGGCCCATAGATAACAGAGTCGCCAGGATCATGACTAAAATACTTCCGAATTTTGAGGTTATAAAATCACCAATACCAACTATAATTTCTGCAGTAGTAATTTCCATGTCTTATTTGTCTTGTAGTCAAACATCATAATAATAGACTGCATGAAAATGTGACTATATTGCTAAAAATGTACCTATACCGAGTGGTGGCGGCACAAGAATATGCAAGATTTCATTTCGTTCCGTGGGTGTCGTAAGAGGCGGCGATTGGAAATGTTAAAAAAATCGTAGTTTCTGATAGACTATGGACGTCATCAATTACGTGAGGCGTTTAGAGTGTAGGGGGAGAGGTCGAGTCTCACCCACATCTCAAGTGGGGGCAGCAGGAGGGTCTCGGCAAATATCACGTTATTTTTCGGCAAGAAACAGTGTAAAATTAAAAAAAATGGGTTAAAAAAATTCTATACAATAATATTTATCACGATTATGCGAACTCCTTAAATGATATAAGAATAATTAAGCAATTTTTTTTTTTAAATAAACCCAACGCCATCAAGCATGGATTAGGTATTTAAGTACACTAAAAATACATATTTTGAAAAATCTCACGTGAGATTGGGGGTTTTGGGGATTGAATGTATCGAGATATATCTCCAACATCTCCCCAGGGGGAGGGGGAGGATAGAAAATTCAATCAGCTCAAGAGGATAAAAAAATCAATAAAAATCAAGTAATTAATGGACTAATCCTTTGCGGTATAACTATCTCATTTATGTCATATAGTCTGTTCGCTAAGATAGAGTCGGTACACCCGGAGGCGCACTTATTATTTTGCTTTTATTTTATATAATTTTTTTACTGTGTAATCAATGTTTTTCTATTCTAAGAACCAAATGGAATACTATTTTATTCTTATGGTTGTTGTAATAAAATACGAATATAAATAATAACCACAAGTTAAGTAGCAAAGAACTACGGGGCTTTGTTTTACTACGGCGCTTCGTTTTCAAATGCCAAATTCTGGCGCGGTTGTACGACTTTTGATGTCGCGGCGGCGCCTTTGGCAAGGTGCGGTACGTGCAAAGGCGGCGCGACACAAAGGCGACCGTATCTAAGCGAACAGACTATACATAGAATAGACTACAGACTACAGCAGGGTCGTAGACTAGAGACGGACAGCAGGGTTGAAGATGCGAGTACGTCTAGCACTGCGATCGTTTATACGCTTGCGGCTTGCCAACACGGTTAATGCTAATAACCTCAGAAGCCCATGTTGGCACATGCCCAGCACAGCAGGGGACTTTAACGGGCCGGTAAAAAGAAATGATTTAATTTTAAAATATGACATTATCTTGTAATACGCAAAAATATAATAACAATAATAACACTATATGTAAGCATTAAACTAAATTGCCTCTAAAAAAATGGTAACTTCCGTTTGATAGTTATGCTATAATTTTAAAAGATGGCATTATCTCGTAAATACGTAAAATTTTATGTGGTTATAAAATTATATGTAAACATTAACATTACAAAGTAAATTGCCTATGAATATAAAAATAAAATAATTGTAACTTCCGTGTACAGTTAAATATTATTGCTGGTAAGGTTAGTGCCGAAACTTTTCCGTAGATTGAAATATGAACAATTAATAATCTTATAACTCATTATAATTAAATATGAATATAGCCATTAGTAATCAAAATTAATAATAGTAATTTTTATTAAAAGAAGAACGGCGGACTCTGTAACAAGATATTTTATTGGGTAATGTTTTAGTTAAAATAAGGCGCCTCTGGAAAACAACATCATGAATTAAAATCGTGATATCACTCTTTAACGAGATTTAGAAGTGTCTGTTTGATTGTAACAATTGATATGTAAATAAAAAATAATCGTTTATACGTGGTAGAGTCATCCTGCAGCTATATTATTAGTATGGTTGTAGCACAAATGGGTCTGTTCGACCGAGGAAGGACCACGCTCCCACAGAATACCAGCATAAAATAGCATCTCAATGCTGTTGTGTTTCATATGGTGAGTAGAGAACCGGAGACCCACCCTATTTACTGAAAACGAGGCATTCCATCATAGTCCTCATTGGTGACAACGCATCTGCTCTGATTCATAGTTGAGGATAGATGTAGATGTCTATGGGCCACAGCAACCACTTATCATCAGGTGAATTCTGTGCTCGTTTGTTACCCTTATCTTATAAAAAAAATCGGTTCACAATTGACGGAGACATCGCGTAACATACAAAAAAGAATCTACTGTTAAAATTAGCACCTCTTTCTTTTTAGATGTCGGCTAAAGCAGTTTACACGAAGCCCTATAGATAAAACCAGTAGTTTAGTTTATACAAGTGTTTATCGTACGCAAAAAATAACCCTGAGCGTCGTCCATTGAGACGCTATACTAGTACATACTATTATGTATTCAGTGGCTATACTAACTCCGAGATAGCGACCGAAAGGTCATAGAAGCCGGGGCAGATCGCTAACAAGTAGTAAAATTAAAAATTTTGTACAACCGACTTCAATATAAATAAAATAAGAACATCATCAATGTAGTTGAAGTCAATTAAATACGCTTTTTAAGGACTAGCTGTCCTTCGCGACTTCGTCCCCGTGGAATTTACTACGATTTCAAGGGTTTTAATTTTTTTGCACGGAACCCTGATTCTTTTTCTTAAATAAAAGTATCCTAAGTTACTCATTATAACATCAGCTATCTGCCAGTGAAATTCCCGTCAAAATCGGTCCAGCCGTTTCGGAGATTAACCGGAACAAATAGTCAGACAGACAAAAATGTTGAAAATTGTCTTTTTATTATTAGTACCGTTTATACTTTCATATGCATTTAGTAAAAAGCTGTTATTTTAACATTACAAACAGACACTTCAATTTTATTTATTTGTATAGATGTATGGATAACTCAAGAATCATCAAAATCGGTTCACCTAGAAAAAAGTTCTGAGGTAACACATAAAAAGAATACAGTCGAATTGATAACCTCCCCTTTTCTTGAAGATGGTTAAAATATTTTGAAAACGTGAAGTCCCCCAGTGCGCACTACATTAGTAGTATCATGTAGTAGGTAGTAGCAATAGTAGAAGCGAAGTGTTTCATTCTCAAAACTTAAATTGCGTAAGTTAAGATGTCAATATTACGATTAAAAATTTAGATACCCGTTATTATTTGATACTGCACAGTTGGTTAAAATTATACAGTTTTAACTGTAACTCAAGGTTCAGTTGGAACGTGCGTCTGATAAAGACTAAAGAACAAACCGCAACATTTTGATATTTCCTGTTAGTACGTTTTGTACAATAACAGCTATCTAAGCTTATTCAAATTTTAATTTTATTTAATCGAAAGAGTATACTTTTACTGTGGTCCTGGGTAAATTTAAAAAAAATCCGAAGATAATTTAAAGTTAGTTTACAACTTTTATATAAGTACCATTTTTCTACAGATTTCAAAAAGGACAATTCGACTTATGTTTTTTTTTCTTTATGTGTGTTACTCATAACTTTTTTCTAGGTGAAACGATTTCGATGATTCCTTTTTTATTTGAAAGCTGCTGCTTCTCATGTGATCCCATATAAATTTGATCTAGGTCTGATCAATAGTTTTTGAGTTTTTCTTAATAATTTATATTGAAGTCAGTTGTACAAAATTTTTAATTTTAAACTATTAAGGTTATCTACTTTACGAACCTGCAGCAATAATTAATATAGTACACAATAAAATCCTAATAATATACAAACACAAATAATTGTACCTACATGGA